AATCGTTTGAGAAAATGGAAGAGGAACTCTCCCTGACGGCGCCAATACGTAAGCGCAAGAAATCACGACCCACAGAGACTGATGAGTTCTTTAGCTTGTCCAAGGCTTCCGGCTCGGGCAGCCAGGGCGAGGAGGAGACATCTGATCAGCAAACTTTTGCCAGTGCACAAATGTCCACATCGCAGAAGGTGGCCGCAACTTCTGAGGGCGAAGCCACAGCACCACCGAAGCGTAAAAAATCAAAAAAACCCACGGATAGCGATTCGTCAAAGACCACCGAGGACGATGCCAGGCTTCAGGACATTTCGGGCGCGGTAGGTGACGGTTTATTGATGACGCCAGCCTCACACATGAAGGCTGTGACCGATGAGGCGGAGATCAATAAGAATCTGATTGCATTGGTGCCTCTGGCCAAATTGCTGCGGGTCATCGAAAACCATTTGACAGTCGTCGAGACGGAGGTATTGGATCAGTCCACCATGATGATGACGCCAGCTGCGGCAGACCAAAGCATTGCCATCATACGGAATATTATAGAGCCCATCAAGCAGATCGAATCAAAGCTGCGCGTCTACTCGGGCGAGACCCAAATCGATGCACTAATCCAAACCATGGACGATGATATACGCAGGCTGCATATGGGCCTGCAGGTAATCGAGAAGTGCGTGGAGATTGATGAGACGGGCGCTACGCTGATCCAAAGGACCAGTGTGTGCATTATTGACAGCGTGGCGGAGCATATGAAGCGGGCGCTGGAGGAGTTGAAGATAGTTAGCGAGAAATTCGAATCGGAGAGTCTGCGCAACCAAATCAACTTGACTGCCGATGATATACACCAGGGCCTGGAGATAACCCAAGGCACCATTCGATCACAGGCATTGCTGCAGGAAGCGCAGGAACTGGAGGCAGCCAAGCATTTTACGGAGGCCGTCGAGAAGATGCAGGACGTGCCCGAAAGCGTGTCCTTTGCATCCATAACGGAAGCCAACCTACCCAGCGAAGCGAGCGCCTTAAAGCAGATCTGTCAGCCCGTTGCGAAAATACAAGAAGCTCTGGAACGCGTCGAAATGGAGCTGTCTATGGAGGAGAATGAAGAGCAAATCTACAAGAAGGTGCACAAGAAGGTGTTGGATAGCATAGTTCAGCCCATTAAGGAATTGCAAAGTACTCTTCAATCCATTGAAGATAAGACAGAGTCCCTGGCCGGATCGGAATCGATCGAACAAAAGATTAACATGGCCATCCTGGATATTGTGACCCCGCCACTCTTCGAGCTCAACAAGGGATTGGAGTTGATTCTAAATGAGAAGTCAGACAGCGTTGAGGGTGGCATGTTTACAGTCAGCACCGTCGAGTCGATGGTGCCGCCGCTCCAAGAGATTCAGAATGGCCTGGCGCAGTTGGGCCAGGATCTGGAGAGTGGCCAGGCGGCTAGCGAGGAGGCTACATTGGATCTGGCAGACACCCAGAAGCTGTTGCAGTCCATTGCCCAAGCTGTTTTGCATTTCGAAACGAATATTGAAAGGATTTCGGAACGCCTGAGTGAGAATGTTAAGATTCGTCTACAAAATCTAAAGGACGAGCTGTCGGCTCTGATTGGCACCATTTTGGACAAAGATATAGCCCGGCATCATGTGGAGCTGCTTGACAAGCTAAAGCGTCCGATTGATGAATTGAACTATTGCCTACGCCAGACCGAGGTGAAGTCCACGTCTGGCTCTTTGGCTGATCTGATCGAGCCACTTAGCCTATTGCAGGAGAATACCCAAAAGGGACAAGGACTGCTGTTGGCGACGCGGGAACGCGAACCAGATAAGGATGCACTGCAGTCCCTTGAAAATATACGCAATATAATACGCAATGCTATTATCGATATTGAGGAACACGAATTTAAGATTTTGCAGCAGGAGATCCAACAGGACGAACAGCAGGCTGCTCAGCAAGACAAATCCTTTAGCGCATTGCGTAAGGTTTTGGAGACCAAGGTCTCGCTCGAGGAGTCCATTGGCAATATTGAAACCCTTCAGCTGGCTCTAAACCGAATCAACGAAAGTTCCAGGACAGCGCCCAAGATCAAACACTCAGCGAATGAAGCTCAAGTTTCGCTCTTGCGCATTTTACAAATAGCCAAAGGATTGGCCGCATTTAGCGAGACGGAGACCACACTCAATTCCAATGAAGCGCATACAACACGCATTCTATTTGAGATGGGCAAAAGCTTTGCTGATCTCGCCAAGACTCTTGATAATCCAACTGCAGATGAAAGTAATTTCAACGATGTTCTGAATAGTTTCAATGATATTGTAGCTCAGCAGAGAGAAGCCTTGGACGAGAAACTTACTTGGAATGCTCTTGCCATATCCAGTCCACTCTCGAGTTTCGTACATGCACTCGAAAATCTACAACCGCTTAGGTTATCTGTTGAAGATTTATCCACATTGGATGATATTTCTGTGCTCAAGTCCTCAGCTGAATCGTTGTCCGCCGAGCCGCAGGCTTATGTTAAAGAGGAGGAGGGAAAGAAAATACCAGTCGAGCAGGAAACCCTCACGAAACCAGCTGAGGTCCTGCTCTCAGATCTGAACCATGGTATCGCTACAGTACTTTCGCATTGTGAGGACCTGGATGTGGCCTCCTTGCGTGGCGAGGCAGGTGAACAGCTTCAAGCGGCCATCATCAAAATGCAGGAGCTGCGGAGCAGCATTGCTTTGGTGCAGGAAACAAACCTTGTCGAGGCTGCCCAATCCTTCTCCGAAGGGACGGATCCCGGCACTTTTGCCGCAGCCATGTGCAGCTTGGAGCGCTGTGTGCTTGAGGTGGAGGAGTGCATTGCGCATAGTGGCGCCGAAAGTCTAAAGGAACTGGAATTGTCCAAGCTGAAAACATTAGCCACACCTCTTTGTGATCTAAGGCAATACTGTGAGCAGATTGATACCCAAGCGCTGGAACAGGCCTTGGATATGTCTACACAAGATATATCAGATTTAAAGACCAGTGGACAGCAGCAGACTGTCGAGGATGCCGTCAAGGAGGCGGCTGTCATCCTGGCAGAACCCAAAGTGGAGATCTTCGATGTGCAACAAGGTGTAGTAAGTGGTATAAAGCAGCTGGAGGCTGCCTTAGAAGTCACCCAGAGGGATAGTCACGAGGAGCTGCGCCAGGTGGGCGTTATAATCCAGCAGCTGAATTCGGATTTGAAGAACATACAAGAGGCTCTCGCCTCGGACACTGATCAACAGGAAACAGTTTTGGCTCAGGCGAAAATTGCACGCACCATGTTTAAGTTGAAGGAGTGCTTGGTACACACCTACGAATCGGGTCTGGTTGACTCCTTGGACAATGTGGAAAGCGCTTTCGAAGATATTTTGCTATCTTTGCCTGTCTTAGAGTCGCAACTCGCACAGGAGATGTATTCCAAAATCGAGAATACCTTCAAGAACTTCATGGCCAGCTGCCAACAGCCTGAAGCTCAGCAGCAACAGTCGATGGAAAATCTACAAGGCAACTTTGAAAGGCTGCTGCAGTCGGTAAAAGCTGTGGCTGATTCACCCAATGTTGACATCGACAAGTCATCGACTTTAATGGTCAATCTTCAAACCAATCTTATGGCCACGTTCAGAGCTCTCAACGAGGTCAGCGAAGTGGTCGACAATGATCTGCTGGGTGGACTACTCAGAGCCCAAAGCAGTCTGGTTGCAGTCTTTGATTTTATTGAGAATAATGATAGTACAATACGCATAATTGAATTGCTACAAGAAATCGATGTCATATCCGCGGAACTAAAGAGTTTGTCTCTAGCTCCTACCCCGCCCCCTGTGCCCATCGATATCAGTGCCATAATTGAAAACGTGACCTCGGGCAAGGCGTTCCTTACTGAAATCGAACATGGCTTGCAGAACGATAATCCGCTGAGCGTTAAGCTGCTCGATGAGAACACGGATGAAATCGGCCAATTAGAAGCCACACTCATCCAAATCGAGAATGATATACTATCTCAGCCGCAGCTTACACAAATTACACCTGAGCAGCTGGCGCTCATTGCGACAGTTCAGCTGCAAATCAACAATCTTCAGGAGAAGCTAATTCAGCTAGGTGCAACACTTGCAGCACAACAGGCGGAGGAGAAGCTAGCAGAGCCGCAGGGCCAAGAAATTCAGGACACATCGGATCAAATGGTCAAAACAGAAATGAAGGCAAAAAGAAAACTGGAGGATTCAAAACAAACTCTAACCAAGAAACCGAAAGACGAAATCGACGCAAAAGACATTCAGACGTCAGATATTTTAAACAAAGCAGAACCGAAAGCTCTAACTGACACACCGGAAGACCTGAAACAAACTTTGAATGTCAAACTCCTAGATTTGTTGACTGTCCTAAAACATAAACCAGAAAACCCTGAAATAGAGGCTATCATAAACAATAGCAAAGATATTATGGATAACTTGACAGACTCTGAAAAAATTGTTAAGGGTATATTTAAACTTCGAGAACACATTGTTCATACATACGATGGCAAATCACCTGAAGAAAAAAATGAAAGAGAAATGGTGGAAGCATTCATTGAATCACTTCTAAACGCTTCTCCAGCTGCTTCGGAGGATATAATAAATACTTATTTAAAAGAAATTAAGACAAATATTATTTTAACCAAAGCAGCTTTACGACTTATTGGCATTACAGAAGTGGGTACAAAATCATCGTTGATAGTGCCGAAGCTAGTAAAGCTCGAAAGCATTTCAGAGAACATCAAGTCTAAGCTGCAAATTGAAAAGTCTTCTGAAAAGATGGTTCATCTGCAACAGAACCTAATGGATATATTTGTAATACTTGATGACCTTTTGGATGATAAAACAGTTCTATTAAAACCCATTATTGAGGATACGAAAAAGGTTCTTCTATCAGAATATGATTATATTGAGCAAAAACAGGGACAGCTGCAAACTGCAACGATTGAAGGAAAAATTCATATCATTACAAAACACATACTAAATGTTTGCCAAATGCTTCAACAGCTCAACAAAGACCAAATTGAAGAAAAGCTCATTGAAGAGCACCAATTAGCTGAAAAGAATAAACAGGATGCACTAAATGCTGAAAAAGAAGTTGAAGAGAAAGCCCAGAAGGGCGAAGTATGTGAAGTCGTTGCAGAGAATGTTTCCGAAGAAAAGGTTCCTGAGAGTAAGAAGCTTGAAGTAGGGGAATCTGAAAGTGAAGCCCAAAAGGCGAAAGTACTAGAACAACAACTAATTGAAGAGAAGAAACTGGATACCAAACAGAAGAAACAAGCCGAGAAGGATGCTGACAAGAAAGCTCAGAAGGGAGAAGTATCTGAAGTCGTCGCACAGAAAGTTTCTGAGGATGAACATGAAGTGATTAAACAAAATTTGCAAATCAAACTCTTAGATATTGTTAGGGCTTCTGAATCGGAAATCTCCAACGAAGGCTTGCAATTGATTGTTACGGAAAGTAACGATATAATCGAAAATCTAGGAGACTTTGAAAAGGTTTCTAAATGCATATTTAAGCTTCGAGAACACATCGTTCATACATACGATGGCAAATCAACTGAAGAACAAAATAAAAGGGAAATGGTAGAAGCATTCATCGAATCAGTTTTAGAGGCCTCTCCGTCTACAGCCGAGAGTATAATAAAACGTTACATTAAGGAAATTGAAACAAATGTTATTTTAACAAAAGCAGCTGTAAGACTTATCGACGAGTCTGATATGTTTGCTAAGCCTTCACTGCTAATACCAAAACTTGTTAATCTGCAAAATATTTCCAAAACTATTGAATCGCAGCTTCATATTGAAAAGGCTTCTGAAATGATGATCTTTCTGCAACAAAATCTGATGGATATATTTATAATACTTGACGATCTTTTGGAAGATAATACAGCTATGTTAAAGCCTGTCATTGAAGAAATTAAAACTGTCGTTCTAGCAGAATATGACTATATTGAGAAGGCGCAGGAAGAACTCAAAACTGCAACAGTTGAAGCAAAAATTCATAACATTACCAAAGAAATATTACATGTTTGCGAAAAATTACAACATCGCAATAAAGAATTGATTGATGAAAAACGCATTGAAGAGCAGCATTTAACTGAACAAAAAAAACCGGACGCAGCAAAGGCTGAAAAAGAAGCTGAAGAGAAAGACCAGAAGGGCGAAGTATCTGAAGTCGTCGCAGAGAAGGTTTCCGAAGAAAACGTTCCTGAAAGTAAGAAGCTTGAAGTAGGGGAAACTGAAAGTGAAGCCCAAAAGGCGAAGGTATTAGAACAGCAATTAATTGAAGAGAAGAAACTGGATACCAAGCAGAAGAAACAAGCCGAGAAGGATGCTGACAAGAAAGCCCAGAAGGGAGAAGTATCAGAAATCGTCGCACAGAAGGTTTCCGAAGAAGAGGTTCCTGAGAGTAAGAAGCTTGAAGTAGGGGAAACTGAAAGTGAAGCCCAAAAGGCGAAGGTACTAGAACAACAACTAATTGAAGAGAAGAAACGGGATACCAAGCAGAAGAAACAAGCCGATAAGGATGCTGACAAGAAAGCCCAGAAGGGAGAAGTATTTGAAGTCGTTGCAGAGAAGGTTTCCGAAGAAAAGGTTCCTGAGAGTAAGAATCTTTTAGTAGGGGAATCTGCAAGTGAAGCCCAAAAGGCGAAGATACTAGAACAACAACTAATTGAAGAGAAGAAACTGGATACCAAACAGAATAAACAAACTGAGAAGGATGCTGACAAAAAAGCCCAGAAGGGAGAAGTATCTGAAGTCGTCGCAGAGAATGTTTCCGAAGAAGTGGTTCCTGAAAGTAAGAAGCTTGAAGTAGGGGAATCTGAAAGTAAAGCCCAAAAGGCGAATGTACTAGAACAGCCATTAATTGAAGAGAAGAAACTGGATACCAAGCAGAAGAAACAAGCCGAGAAGGATGCTGACAAGAAAGCCCAGAAGGGAGAAGTATCAGAAATCGTCGCACAGAAGGTTTCCGAAGAAGAGGTTCCTGAGAGTAAGAAGCTTGAAGTAGGGGAATCTGAAAGTGAAGCCCAAAAGGCGAAGGTACTAGAGCAACAAGTAATTGAAGAGAAGAAACTGGATACCAAACAGAAGAAACAAGCCGAGAAGGATGCTGACAAGAAAGCCCAGAAGGGAGAAGTATCTGAAGTCGTCGCACAGAAAGTTTCTGAGGATGAACATGAAGTCATTAAACAAAATTTGCAAATCAAACTCTTAGAAATTGTTAGGGCTTCTGAATCGCAGATTTCCAACGAAGGCTTGCAATTGATTGTTACGGAAAGTAACGATATAATTGAAAATCTAGAAGACTTTGAAAAGGTTTCTAAATGCATATATAAGCTTCGAGAACACATCGTTCATACATACGATAGTAAAGCACCTGAAAAACAAAATGAAAAAGAAATGGTGGAAGCATTCATCGAATCACTTCTAAACGCTTCTCCAGCTGCTGCAGAGGATATAATAAATACTTATTTAAAAGAAATTAAGACAAATATTATTTTAACCAAAGCAACTTTACAACTTATTGGCGATACAGAAGTGGGTAAAAAATCATCGTTGATAGTGCCGAAGCTAGTAAAGCTCGAAAGCATTTCAGAGAACATCAAGTCTAAGCTGCAAATTGAAAAGTCTTCTGAAAAGATGGTTCATCTGCAACAGAACCTAATGGATATATTTGTAATACTTGATGACCTTTTGGATGATAAAACAGTTCTATTAAAATCCATTATTGAGGATACGAAAAAGGTTCTTCTATCAGAATATGATTATATTGAGCAAAAACAGGGACAGCTGCAAACTGCAACGATTGAAGGAAAAATTCATATCATTACAAAACACATACTAAATGTTTGCGAAAAGCTTCAACAGCTCAACAAAGACCAGATTGAAGAAAAGCTCATTGAAGAGCACCAATTAGCTGAAAAGAATAAACAGGATGCACTAAATGCTGAAAAAGAAGCTGAAGAGAAAGCCCAGAAGGGAGAAGTATCTGAAGTCGTCGCAGAGAAGGTTTCCGAAGAAGTGGTTCCTGAGAGTAAGAAGCTTGAAGTAGGGGAATCTGAAAGTGAGGCCCAAAAGGCGAAGATACTAGAACAACAATTAATTGAAGAGAAGAAACAGGATACCAACCAGAAGAAACAAGCCGAAAAGGATGCTGACAAGAAAGCCCAGAAGGGAGAAGTATCTGAAGTCGTTAAAGAGAAGGTTTCCGAAGAAAAGGTTTCTGAGAGTAAGAAGCTTGAAGTAGGGGAATCTGAAAGTGAAGCCCAAAAGGCGAAAGTACTAGAACAGCCATTAATTGAAGAGAAGAAACTGGATACCAAACAGAAGAAACAAGCCGAGAAGGATGCTGACAAGAAAGCCCAGAAGGGAGAAGTATCTGAAGTCGTTGCAGAGAAGGTTTCCGAAGAAAAAGATCCTGAGAGTAAGAAGCTTGAAGTAGGGGAATCTGAAAGCGAAGCCCAAAAGGCGATGGTACTAGAACAACAATTAATTGAAGAGAAGAAACAGGATACCAAACAGAAGAAACAAGCTGAGAAGGATGCTGAAAAGAAAGCCCAGAAGGGAGAAGTATCTGAAGTCGTCGCAGAGAAGGTTTCCGAAGAAAAGGTTCCTGAATGTAAGAAGCTTGAAGTAGGGGAATCTGAAAGAGAAGTCCAAAAGGCGAAGGTACTAGAACAGCAATTAATTGAAGAAACGAAACTGGATACCAAGGAGGAGAAACAAGCCGAGAAGGATGTTGACAAGAAAACCCAGAAGGGAGAAGTATCTGAAGTCGTCGCAGAGAAGGTTTCCGAAGAAGTGGTTCCTGAGAGTAAGAAGCTTGAAGTAGGGGAATCTGAAAGTGAGGCCCAAAAGGCGAAGATACTAGAACAACAACTAATTGAAGAGAAGAACCTGGATACCAAACAGAAGAAACAAGCTGAGAAGGATGCTGACAAGAAAGCCCAGAAGGGAGAAGTATCTGAAGTCGTCGCAGAGAAGGTTTCCGAAGAAGTGGTTCCTGAAAGTAAGAAGCTTGAAGTAGGGGAATCTGAATGTAAAGCCCAAAAGGCGAAGGTACATGAACAACTAATTGAAGAGAAGAAACTGGATACCAAACAGAAAAAACAAGCCGAAAAAGATGCTGAAAAGAAAGCCCAGAAGGGAGAAGTATCTGAAGTCGTCGCAGAGAAGGTTTCCGAAGAAAAGGTTCCTGAAAAGAAGAAGCTTAAAGTAGGGGAATTTGAAAGTGAAGCCCAAAAGGCGAAGGTATTAGAACAGCAATTAATTGAAGAGAAGAAACTGGATACCAAGGAGAAGAAAGAAGCCGAGAAGGATGCTAAAAAGAAAGCCCAGAAGGGAGAAGTATCTGAAGTCGTCGCAGAGAAGGTTTCCGAAGAAGTGGTTCCTGAAAGTAAGAAGCTTGAAGTAGGGGAATCTGAAAGTGAAGCCCAAAAGGCGAAGGTACATGAACAACAACTAATTGAAGAGAAGAAACTGGATACCAAACAGAAAAAACAAGCCGAAAAAGATGCTGAAAAGAAAGCCCAGAAGGGAGAAGTATCTGAAGTCGTCGCAGAGAAGGTTTCCGAAGAAAAGGTTCCTGAAAGTAAGAAGCTTGAAGTAGGGGAATTTGAAAGTGAGGCCCAAAAGGCGAAGATACTAGAACAACAACTAATTGAAGAGAAGAACCTGGATACCAAACAGAAGAAACAAGCCGAGAAGGATGCTAAAAAGAAAGCCCAAAAGGGAGAAGTATCTGAAGTTGTCGCAGAAAAGGTTTCCGAAGAAAACGTTCCTGAGAGTAAGAAGCTTGAAGTAGAGGAAGCTGAAAGTAACGCCAAAATGGCGAAGGTACTAGAACAACAATTAATTGAAGAGAAGAAACAGGATACCAAACAGAAGAAACTTGCTGAGAAGGATGCTGAAAAGAAAGCCCAGAAGGGAGAAGTATCTGAAGTCGTCGCAGAGAAGGTTTCCGAAGAAAAGGTTCCTGAAAGTAAGAAGCTTGAAGTAGGGGAATCTGAAAGTGAAGCCCAAAAGGCGAAGGTACATGAACAACAACTAATTGAAGAGAAGAAACTGGATACCAAACAGAAAAAACAAGCCGAAAAAGATGCTGAAAAGAAAGCCCAGAAGGGAGAAGTATCTGAAGTCGTCGCAGAGAAGGTTTCCGAAGAAAAAGTTCGTGAGAGTAAGAAGCTTGAAGTAGAGGAATCTGCAAGTGAAGCCCAAAAGGCGAAGGTATTAGAACAGCAATTAATTGAAGAGAAGAAACTGGATACCAAGCAGAAGAAACAAGCCGAGAAGGATGCTGACAAGAAAGCCCAGAAGGGAGAAGTATCTGAAGTCGTCGCACAGAAGGTTTCCGAAGAAGAGGTTCCTGAGAGTAAGAAGCTTGAAGTAGGGGAATCTGAAAGTGAAGCCCAAAAGGCGAAGGTACTAGAACAACAATTAATTGAAGAGAAGAAACTGGATACCAAACAGAAGAAACAAGCCGAGAAGGATGCTGACAAGAAAGCCCAGAAGGGAGAAGTATTTGAAGTCGTTGCAGAGAAGGTTTCCGAAGAAAAGGTTCCTGAGAGTAAGAATCTTTTAGTAGGGGAATCTGCAAGTGAAGCCCAAAAGGCGAAGGTATTAGAACAGCAATTAATTGAAGAGAAGAAACTGGATACCAAGCAGAAGAAACAAGCCGAGAAGGATGCTGACAAGAAAGCCCAGAAGGGAGAAGTATCAGAAATCGTCGCACAGAAGGTTTCCGAAGAAGAGGTTCCTGAGAGTAAGAAGCTTGAAGTAGGGGAATCTGAAAGTGAGGCCCAAAAGGCGAAGATACTAGAACAACAACTAATTGAAGAGAAGAAACTGGATACCAAACAGAATAAACAAACTGAGAAGGATGCTGACAAAAAAGCCCAGAAGGGAGAAGTATCTGAAGTCGTCGCAGAGAAGGTTTCCGAAGAAGTGGTTCCTGAAAGTAAGAAGCTTGAAGTAGGGGAATCTGAAAGTGAAGCCCAAAAGGCGAAGGTATTAGAACAGCAATTAATTGAAGAGAAGAAACTGGATACCAAGCAGAAGAAACAAGCCGAGAAGGATGCTGACAAGAAAGCCCAGAAGGGAGAAGTATCAGAAATCGTCGCACAGAAGGTTTCCGAAGAAGAGGTTCCTGAGAGTAAGAAGCTTGAAGTAGGGGAATCTGAAAGTGAAGCCCAAAAGGCGAAGGTACTAGAGCAACAAGTAATTGAAGAGAAGAAACTGGATACCAAACAGAAGAAACAAGCCGAGAAGGATGCTGACAAGAAAGCCCAGAAGGGAGAAGTATCTGAAGTCGTCGCACAGAAAGTTTCTGAGGATGAACATGAAGTCATTAAACAAAATTTGCAAATCAAACTCTTAGAAATTGTTAGGGCTTCTGAATCGCAGATTTCCAACGAAGGCTTGCAATTGATTGTTACGGAAAGTAACGATATAATTGAAAATCTAGAAGACTTTGAAAAGGTTTCTAAATGCATATTTAAGCTTCGAGAACACATCGTTCATACATACGATAGTAAAGCACCTGAAAAACAAAATAAAAAAGAAATGGTGGAAGCATTCATCGAATCACTTCTAAACGCTTCTCCAGCTGCTGCAGAGGATATAATAAATACTTATTTAAAAGAAATTAAGACAAATATTATTTTAACCAAAGCAGCTTTACGACTTATTGGCGATACAGAAGTGGGTAAAAAATCATCGTTGATAGTGCCGAAGCTAGTAAAGCTCGAAAGCATTTCAGAGAACATCAAGTCTAAGCTGCAAATTGAAAAGTCTTCTGAAAAGATGGTTCATCTGCAACAGAACCTAATGGATATATTTGTAATACTTGATGACCTTTTGGATGATAAAACAGTTCTATTAAAATCCATTATTGAGGATACGAAAAAGGTTCTTCTATCAGAATATGATTATATTGAGCAAAAACAGGGACAGCTGCAAACTGCAACGATTGAAGGAAAAATTCATATCATTACAAAACACATACTAAATGTTTGCGAAAAGCTTCAACAGCTCAACAAAGACCAGATTGAAGAAAAGCTCATTGAAGAGCACCAATTAGCTGAAAAGAATAAACAGGATGCACTAAATGCTGAAAAAGAAGCTGAAGAGAAAGCCCAGAAGGGCGAAGTATGTGAAGTCGTTGCAGAGAATGTTTCCGAAGAAAAGGTTCCTGAGAGTAAGAAGCTTGAAGTAGGGGAATCTGAAAGTGAAGCCCAAAAGGCGAAGGTACTTGAACAACAACTAATTGAAGAGAAGAAACTGGATACCAAACAGAAGAAACAAGCCGAGAAGGATGCTGAAAAGAAAGCCCAGAAGGGAGAAGTATCTGAAGTCGTCGCAAAGAAGGTTTCCGAAGAAAAGGTTCCTGAGAGTAAGAAGCTTGAAGTAGAGGAATCTGAAAGTGACGCCAAAAAGGCGAAGGTATTAGAACAACAATTAATTGAAGAGAAGAAACAGGATACCAAACAGAAGAAACAAGCCGAGAAGGATGCTGAAAAGAAAGCCCAGAAGGGAGAAGTATCTGAAGTCGTTGCAGAGAAGGTTTCCGAAGAAAAAGTTCGTGAGAGTAAGAAGCTTGAAGTAGAGGAATCTGAAAGTGACGCCAAAAAGGCTAAGGTACTCGAACAACAATTAATTGAAGAGAAGAAACAGGATACCAAACAGAAGAAACAAGCCGAGAAGGATGCTGACAAGAAAGCCCAGAAGGGAGAATTATCTGAAGTCGTCGCAGAGAAGGTTTCCGAAGAAAAAGTTCCTGAAAGTAAGAAGCTTGAAGAAGGGGAATCTGAAAGAGAAGCCCAAAAGGCGAAGGTACTAGAACAACAATTAATTGAAGAGAAGAAACAGGATACCAAACAGAAGAAACAAGCCGAGAAGGATGCTGAAAAGAAAGCCCAGAAGGGAGAAGTATCTGAAGTCGCTCCAGAGGAGGTTTCCGAAGAAAAGGTTCCTGAGAGTATGAAGCTTGAAGTAGGGGAATCTGAAAGTGAAGCCCAAAAGGCGAAGTCACTAGAACAGCAATTAATTGAAGAGAAGAAACAGGATACCAAACAGAAGAAACAAGCTGAGAAAGATGCTAAAAAGAAAGCCAAGAAGGGAGAAGTATCTGAAGTCGTTGCAGAGAAGGTTTCCGAAGAAAAGGTTCCTGAGAGTAAGAAGCTTGAAGTAGAGGAATCTGAAAGTGACGCCAAAAAGGCTAAGGTACTAGAACAACAATTTATTGAAGAGAAGAAACTGGATACCAAACAGAAGAAACAAGCTGAGAAGGATGCTGAAAAGAAAGCCCAGAAGGGAGAAGTATCTGAAGTCGTTCCAGAGAAGGTTTCCGAAGAAAAGGTTTCTGAGAGTATGAAGCTTGAAGTAGGGGAATCTGAAAGTGAAGCCCAAAAGGCGAAGGTACATGAACAACAACTAATTGAAGAGAAGAAACTGGATACCAAACAGAAAAAACAAGCCGAAAAAGATGCTGAAAAGAAAGCCCAGAAGGGAGAAGTATCTGAAGTCGTCGCAGAGAAGGTTTCCGAAGAAAAGGTTCCTGAGAGTATGAAGCTTGAAGTAGGGGAATCTGAAAGTGAAGCCCAAAAGGCGAAGTCACTAGAACAGCAATTAATTGAAGAGAAGAAACTGGATACCAAAAAGGAGAAAAAAGTTGAAAAGAAAGCCCAAAAAGGAGAAGCATCTAAAGTCGTCGCTGAGAAAGTTCCTGTGGAAAAGGTTCCTGAGAGTAAAAAGCTTGAAGTGAAGGAATCTGTAGCTAACTCTGAAAAGGAAGAGCAGCCACTGAATACAAAACAGCAGAAACTGGATAAGTTATCACAGAGCTTTGATGAGAAGATTGTTGTAGTAGATAAAAGCGAGAGTAAACAATATGAATCTAAAATGGATACTGAAAAAGCGGAAGACTCCATTAGTATGGAGACCAAAACGTACAAGTCATTGGAGTCTGAGTATAGGGAAAGAAAGGAAACACGCAGCGCAAAGCGTAAGCCGACAGTTGATCTTATGCTGACAAATCGTAATTCAGCAACGGGAAGTGATCTGAAGTTGACATGTGGCATATCTGGTCACGAGATGAGGGTGCAATGGTTCAAGCAAAATAGTCCCATTGCGAACGATGCCAAGCACAAGATAACCTTGAACGATGGTCTGTCCTGCCTTGAAATCAAATCGACAGAAATGAATGATTCTGGCATATATCGATGCATAGCGTCTAATCGAAATGGAGAGGTGGAAACGAGCTGTCTTGTGACTATATACGAAGCACCTTCAACCAAATTTGGCACACCGCCAATATTTACACGCAACATACGAGGTAAGTGCCTGTTTTACCTTTACCTATGCGCAGCCCAGTGCCCCAAATGTAAATGAAACTAACGTCAGATTCGCAAATGAATCAGTTCAATCTGACATTAGTAAATAGGAAATAAATATATAAGCTACATATACTATATATTTGAATGCCTAAGTATGTAAGTTCCTTGGCTAAGTATCTGCATTTTAGTTTTGTGCTAATCGGTTCACACTTTCGACTTATGATAAGCTAAAGATCATTTATAGTTGCATTTTTTTCCTATTATTTTTAAGTTGAATAGACGCCTCTTTAAATAGCTAAATCGAAATTCGAATGACTTTTATATAATTGAATTTGCTGCCTGCATTAATTAAAAGTCTATAGCATTTAAATAGATTTATTTCGAATGATTTATTTTTTGGCAACAATTGTGTTGCAACTATATAAATAAGTTTACACACATATATGTGTATATAAAAAACGGCGGGCAATACCGAAATTCGTGAAATTGTTTTTGTTAGCATAACAATCGATTGTCAATTAGGATACATTCGAGAAGTTATGTATTTTCGAATATTTTCACCACATTGCGGACAGTCGTGAATCTTCTTTTGCATCGAACGGACGTCTGACGTCCTAAAATATTAAAACTCTTTCGATCGAACCGTTGCGGGTTGCATATATCGTATATATATATATATAAATATCCATTTATACATATACGACTCGTACGGATATAATTCTTATCGGTTTTTTTCCCCAAACGAATTATCATTTCCCTCCCCGTTATCCTTGTGAAAAGATAATAAACCGAAATTTAACAAAATGGGCGAGACGGACGGCGATATAGAGCCACGGGCATCCGCGGAACCGGAGGCGCCAGCAGCGCAGGAAACGCTACAGGTGCCAACGCAAAAGAAGCGCAAGCTTAAGTCGCCCACTCCGGGCAGCTTACGCGGACGCAGTGCCACGCCCATACACGGCCGGAGCCAGACTCCGTTCACCTTGTATATGACACGTCGCAGTGCCACGCCCTCAACATGGCGCAGCATAACCCCATTCCTAAAACGCGAGGAGAAAGAGAAAACTCCATTCGAACTGGGCCGGGACATCAAGAGCCAAACCACGTGCAACATCGCCGTCTTCGATCGTGCCCTGATCATGGATATCTCCGAGCCCGTGGATGTGCAGAAGCCTGTGCGTTACATAACGTCCGATTTGTCGGTTATCGATCGGGCTGCCGTAATGGACGTGTCCAACGTTGAGGTTATATATGTCGTTGAGGAATACGAAGAGGTTGAAGAGGAGGAGGAAATCATCGAAGAGGTTAAGCCAAAGAAGAAGGAAAAGAAGGCCAGAAAACCGCGCACAGCTCGTAAGTCCATCGACAAGGAGCAGAGTCCCTTAGGCGAAGACGGTGCCGAAGATCTCGGAGACTTTGCTGGTGAAGATCGGGAGGATAGTGTAGACTTTGATGACGATGAGCCAGTTAAAAAGGGCAAGAAGAAGGCGCCGCCCAAGAAGAAGGAGAAAAAGGAAAAATCTCCGAGTCCAAAATTGACCTTGAAACTAGAGATGGGCGGTGGTCAAAAGGCTACCAAGAAGATGTTTGACCAGCCACCCCAAGCTGGACCCAAGCCGCCGCCGAAGAAGAGCAAGATGGTACTGCAAATGGAGGAACAGGCCAAAGCAGCAGCCAAGGCAGCCGAGGAGGCCGCCAATCGTGCCAAGCCCAAGGGCGAGACATTCGAGGAGCGCCAGAAGCGTCTAAAGGAGGAGAAAGAGGAACAGGACCGGCTGGAAGCCGAGCAGCGCGCCATAGAGGAGGCCGAAGCTGAAGCTGAAGCAGAAGCCGAGGAAGACGAAGAAGATATTCCTGAGGAAGGCGACGAGAGCACCGTGGCTGCCGACGGCGACTACAATGAAGATGAGGACCTTGACCGATTGGATGAGGATCAGGAGGAGGAGAACGAAGAAGACGCAGTCCCCGATCTGAAAGCTGCCAAACGCCGAGGCAGCGATTCTTCCGATGAATATACACGACCCGATCCCCACGAGGAGGAGCGCTGGCAGCGCATCGCCGCCACCGAGGGCGAGGAGTTCATGCAGCAGATGCGCAAATACAGCATTGCCAAGCGCACCAGCGAAAAGGAACGCGACGCCGATTGGCAACGACGACGCGAACAGGCTCGTCTGCCCAAGTTCATTAACTTCCTGTCGGATCGCACCGTCGAGGCCGGCCAGAGCGTGCGCCTGGCCTGCGCTGTCGACGGACCCGAGCTCTCCGTCAAATGGTTCAAGGACGGCAGGCAATTGGAGCGCGATGGCAATCATCGCATCATCAACAACAACAACATTTTGGTGCTGGAAGTTGTAAGCACTACTATTCTGGACTCTGGCGAGTATTCGTGCCAGATACTGAATCAAAATGACGAGGTCACCTCATCGTGTATTGTTACTATTTACGAAGTTTTTAAGGATGAACCCAAACCTCCCTCTATACAGTATATCAAAGGTACTTGTCCCAGCCGCATTCCCCCTTTCAAATGCATAACTCACGGGATTTCTCGATATCTTCTCTAGAATATTATCACTTGCGCGACGATGAGCTGACTATTGAGGGTCACGTGCACGGTGTACCGCGTCCAGTTGTTACCTGGTGGCGCGGCGCCTTCCAGGTGAAGCCCAGTTACAAGTTCACCATGCTCGAGGAGGCCCACGGCGTTTGCAAGCTGCTCATCTACAAGCCGGGTAACAAGGATAGCGGCACCTATACCTTAAAAGCCATCAATTCAATCGGCGAGGCACACATTAACCAAACCGTCGAGGTGGCCAAGAATCTGCACTATCATGTGCCCGGCATATTCCATGCGCGCGACAGGATCCAACTGGACAGCTTGAAGCAGGCCAAGGGTCAAATGGATGCCGCTCTCAAGTCCAAGGCCGAATCGGATCAGAAACGTGCCGAAGTCGAGGCCGAGCAGCAGCGTGTCCAGGCGGCCCGTGCACCACCCGAGCCACTTGTGCCAGCCAAACAGAAGCTGCAGTTCGCCACCCAGCTGCGCGATCGTATGGCCCTGGAGGGCACAACCGTGAAGTTTGCGGCCACGGTCATTGGACCAGAGCCAAATACGCGCTGGATGAAGGATGACACGTGGATTGTGATGAGCGATAACATCAAGAATCTATCCGAAGAGGGCAAGGCCATTATTCAGATCAACAAAGTAACATCGGCCGATACGGGCGTATACAAGTGTGTGGCCAAGAACGATCTCAGCGAAATCGAGACCTCATGCTACTTTAAGGTGTATGCGGCGCAGGCTGATGGCGACGAGTCCGAGCCCATTTTTGCCCTGCCCATGCGAGGTATTTTTACTGTATCTGTATCCGTATCTGTATATGTATGTGCAGCACGTATCTGTCTCTCATCTACATCCGTTGCGTTGGTTTTGTCTTCTTAATTTTTTTGTTACAACGCCAACACGATCATCAGCCAAAATTCGAAACTGATTGTTGTCCAACGATCACAGATCTCGATTGAGGTCGACCATGTATAAAAATAGTCGTGGTGCTCAGACAATTGATTGAAGTGTTTGGTCTCCTTCATAGATGTGTATCACTCCTCCCAAAATGATTTGATTATCGATACGAAGGTGCGCGGCAATCCCCGTCCCGTCATCTCTTGGACGAAAGATCAGATACCCGTTGTGCTCGACGATCGTGTCGTGCAAATCGAGCACTTGGATGGCGTCTGTGAGCTGATCGTTAATAAGCCAACTGTGAATGACAACGGCGTCTACGTTTGCACCGCCCAGAACAAATTGGGCAGTCAGTCGACCACCCACACGGTTGTTGTCGACACCACGCACACGTCGCGCCGCTCTAGTGTCTTATCGGCGGCCATGCAGGAGGATTCAGCCGCCGAAGGTGGTGGCAAGTCCAAGCCGAAGAAGCTGCCCAAGAAAGATGACGAAGCCGAGGGCGGTGGAGATGGCGGCTACGAACGACGCAGTCGCATGCCTGATCCGTCACCCAAGCAAATGCTCTATTTCACGGTCAATCTGTCCAACCGCTACGTAGCCGAAGGCTCCAAGGTCAAGCTGCAAGCTGTTATCGGCGGACCCGAGCCCACCATCAAATGGCAAAAAGATGACCAAAATGTACAGTACGGACCCCGTATACGCAACATGAATCGCGACAGCTTGGCCGTGCTGGAGTTCGTAAGCGCCCAGCCCGAAGACTCCGGCACCTATACGATAATAGCCCAGAACGAGTTCTGCAAGATCACCACGTCGGCGATGTTGCACGTCTATCAGCCGAAGGTCAACACCGATGTGCAGCCTGTTTTCATACGCTCTCTGAAAGGTAAGAGCCATGCGTCTATTTGTCTATTCGCCTAGGCAGATGTCTGATCAGATCTATGAATAGATCAAAGCTATAGACGATTGTGCAATGCAATTGTTTGTCTTGTTGGGATTATGCAATGCCTTTGGCGGTTTTCGTATTGTTCTTGGGTTTCTGTGTGTTGCGTGTTTATGTAACAAGCGACTATTAAAAATCGTTCCACTAAATCCACCTCCTCCAGAGACCTATCATCTGACCTCGAATGAACTTATACTGGAGACGGCTGTGCGCGGTCAGCCCACACCCCAGGTGCAATGGTTTAAGGACAGCATTGAGGTTCAGAGCGGCGGCCGCTATCAGATAATTGAACATCAGGATGGCACTTGTGAGCTCATCATTGATCGGCCGGATAGCAAGGATTCGGGCAAATATGTGATCAAGGCGGAGAGTCGTGCTGGAAAAATGGAGAGTTCGCATTACGTGCTCTTCGAGGGCAAGGCCTCGCACATTGCGGACAACATTCACGGAGTGTTCCATGCGGACAAGAGCCTGCTGCGGCCCAAAGAGGCAGAGAAGCCAGCTGCAAAGCCGGCTCCATCGGCCGCCGACGCAGGTGCTGAGGGAGAGGAGGGCAAGGGAAAGCGTCGCGGCCGCAAGAAGGATGACGCCGAAGAGGAAGGTGTATCTTCGGCCACGGACTATGCCTCCGATACGGCTAGTATGTCCAGCAAGCGGCGGGAGAAGAACATTGGCATACACTTTACCACCTCGATGAGGGATCGCGTTGTGGCTGAAGGTTCCAAGGTGAAAATCTCTTGTTTCCTGGAGGCAAAGGAGCCGCAGGTGAAATGGTTCAAGAACGACGAACCACTTCAAAACGGACCCAAGATTCGAGGACGCTACAGCGAAGGCCTCTGCCTGTTGGAGATCAATAGCGCCACCGAGGAGGACAATGGCGAGTACAAGTGCTGGGGACGCGATGAAACTGGTGAGGCGTCGACCTCCTGCAGGCTAGAGGTCTTCGCAGATCCGGGCACGGGCGATGTGCCACCAACGTTCACGCGCAACATAAGAGAAACGCTGCACGGCAAGATCAACGAGCTCCAGCTGGACGTACATGTGCGCGGTCTGCCGACGCCCTCGGTGACATGGTACAAGGATAGCGTGAAGATCGAGAACAACGATAAATACCATCAGGTGGATCACGATGACGGCACCTGTGAATTGTTCATTAGCCATCCCAAGGTCGCCGACAGCGGCAAATACGTTTGTCAGGCCGAGAATCGCGAAGGTCAAACGGAGATCGTGCATATGGTTACCGTGGAGCCACGCGTTCGAGTGCGTCCCACCTCGCCACCTAGAGAGGGCCGACCGCCCCGACCAGCTGGCGAGGAAGAAGAAACCGCCGCCGAGGGTGAAGCAGTTGAAGGGGAAGGAACTGTGAAAAGAGTACGGAAGCCCAAGAAAGATGATGAGGAGCAAACGAGCTCCAGACGCGAAGTTCCACCGCCACCAGATCTAAAGAAGCTTCTCTATTTCCGCAACTTCCTTTCGAATCGCACCGTCAAGTCGGGCGCCAACGTCAAATGGATGGTTAATATCGATGGACCAGAGCCAACGGCCAAGTGGTTCCATGGCGATCAGCCAATTACGTTCGGTCCCAAGAGCAAAATGTCTATGCAGGATGGCATTGCCTGGCTCAATCTGGTCGGCGTTACGGAAGAGGATGCTGGCGAATATACGTTGAGAGTAAGAGGATCCGAAAATGAAATTGTTAGCACTTGCAACCTGTTCGTTTACAGCACGGGTAAAGTTGAGATAATCTCACCCACCTTCACGGTGGGTATCAAAGGTAGGCATCCGCAGGCTAGCTAATTAGTTGTACTTAAATATGGCACCCAGTGCGTCCAAGTGAATGTTAAGGTATGCCGTTAGTTCCTATGTGTTAAGTATCTATGTAGTTATAAACACTAATTCCTAGAATCAGAAACCTATCCCATGTTTATGTCGTGCTTGTCTTACTCTGTTTGTGGTATGTCTTTTCGTGTCAACACCTTTCAGATGCATATCATTCCCAAGACAATCGACTTGTGCTCGAGTGCAAGGTCTCGGGCAGCCCCAAGCCGCATATCTCCTGGCAGCGGGACAACACCCTGCTGCCCCTCGAGACAGCCAAGTACGAGTATGCGGAGCAGAGCGATGGCATCAAGCAGCTGAGCATCACATCCTTTGGCAGCGAAGATACCGGGCTGTACACCTGCTACGCAGAGAGCGAGAATGGTCAGATGAAGATCAGCAAGTTTGTCCAAGCCTCAGACTATGTGAGGGAGCGTGCAGTCGACAAAAAAGCCACAGATCAGCTCGCACAAGATGTCAAGAGACCAGAGTCCAGTCAGATCGCATTGGGTGAGAGCTCAGCAGCGGCAGCCAAAGCCAAGGCGCGCGAGGCCAAGCTGCGGCTCAATCTGGAAACGAGCCTCAAGACTATGACAATCAGCAGCGGCAACAAGGCTCAGCTGATATGCTACGTGACCGGCTTCATCGAGGATGTACACTGGCTAAGGCACGACGAGCGCATCACAAAGGACGCGCGCCACAAAATCTACAATATCAACGGTGCCATCAGCTTGGAAATTTACGATGCCCGTGCCGAGGACAGCGGCAACTACAGATGCGTGGTCAAGAACAGCAGGCAGACGGTGGAGAGCGTTGGCCAGCTGACTGTGTTGGACGAGACGAGCGGCAAGCTGCCGCAAAGCTTTTTGGAGGGCATTAAAAGTATGTCGAATAGAAATTTAATTTGCAAATTTAATTTTGTTAACTAATTAACTTGCTTACAGAGTCCTATGATGCACAGCGCAACGAGATTGTGCTCAGCTGTCAGGTGCACGGTCGTCCCAATGTCAGCTGGATGCGCGATGATCACACGATCTGCAACAATCGCTATAAGGTTGTCGATGAGCTGGGCGGCGAGCGTAAGCTGATCATACGCAATCCCATATCGTCGGACTGCGGCATCTTTGCCTGCTACGCGGAGCACGAAGATTACATTGACTCGATCAGCACCAGCATACGGGCAGCCGACCTGAAACGTCTCATTGCCTACGATCACGAAAAGGTTTCGCTCTCCCAGTCCCAGTCGGTGTCACAGCCGAGGGAGCTGCCGGATGAGTCCACACAGCCCAGTGCCTATGTGAACGGCAATGCTGGCCTGCAGCGCACTGGGAATCGCATCTTGCGCAGCGTTGCGCAGACCAAGCCTCTGTTCCACAGCTATCTACACGATCGCACCATCTCGGAGGGCGCCAATGTGCGACTGATCTGCACGGTTTCGGGCGATGAAAACACACACATCGAATGGTTAAAGAACCACAAGCCATTGCCAAGGGATACGCGCTATCAGACGCTCTATCAGAATGGCGAGGCATCGCTGGAGATCTACGCCGCGGTGTCAGACGACAGCGGCAATTATACATGTTCGGCCGTCAATGACTTCGGCGAGAGTCTAACCCATGCGCAGTTGCGCGTCTACAAGCATTTCCGGGAAGCGTCCATGCCAAGTACTTTCGCGCAGCCAATTCGAGGTATTCCACACAGCTATGGATGAACGCCACGTGAAGCTGCCCGTCCAATAAAACATACGCCCGCATACAGTCTCATTGCTGTTCTAACCGCTTTTGTTTGTCAAGCTCTCTTGTTCTTTATTAAACCCTTTGATTTATATGCTTTTACAGACACGTATTCTCTCAATGATAATGAGCTAGTTCTGGATTGTCGCGTGCGCGGCCAGCCCCGGCCAGAGATCCAATGGATGAAGGGCAACGATGCCATTAGCAATGATGAGAAATATCAACTGATCGACCAGGCCGACGGTTACTGCAAGCTGACTATACGAAATCCGACCGAAAAGGACTCTGGCATATACTTCTGCATAGCAACCAACGAAGGCGCTCAGAATAAGATGACCCATCAGGTGGACTTTGCGGGCCGCGAGCGTTTCACTCTGCAGAAGACGCACGGCTTTTTCCATCGCGATCCCAACAAGCCGCACTTCCTTACCCCGCTGGGCAATCAGACCGTCTGCAATGGCGGCACCGTTGCCATCTCCGCTGAGTTTATGCAGTCGAACACGCCCATTGAGGTTAAATGGCTGCGCGATCGCCGGAATGTTGATGGTCCCAATGTGAAGACCATGAACGAGCGTGGCGTCTACACGCTGGCTATCATGAATGCCGGCGCGGAGCATGAGGGTACCTACACTTGCCTCGCCTCGAATGCCTACGGGCGCATTGAGTCGCACGTGAACATTGATGTCGCAGTGGGCGCCGAAAAGGACGAACGTCCGCCCCTCTTCCTGTCCAGGCCCGAAACCGAAATGAAGATCGCCGTAGGTGATCCGTTCTCGTTGTCCTTCCGCATTGCGGGTGATCCGAAACCGAAGCGTAAGATATCCCAAATTTCTCGGTTGCTTATCAATTTACTCATGTCGTTTATCCTTGCAGTTGTATTCATGAAGGGCACCAAGGATATAACCCAATCGGATCGCGTTAGCAAAGAGGTATCCGATGATTATACCAGATTCACAGTGCAAAAGTCGCAGATCTCCGACTCCGGCACCTATTTCGTTGTTGCCCGCAACGACTTTGGAACGGACAGAATATTCGTCACCATTACAGTACGTACTGCCTACGAATGCCCGTTGTGTTATGTGTTTGTCGTCGCTGTACCTGAATGTTTGGCTATTTATCTAATGCTTTTGCTAACTAACCTTTGCTATTCTCTTTCTCTCTCTCTCTCTCTTTTTACGCTTTTCTTTTTCTAGATTAAAACGCCCAAAAAGAAAGAATAAAGCCTATTTCAATTATATTTATTTATTGTTTGCGCAAATTTCAACGCCTCCCTAAACGCACCAAAATATTTATGCTCTAAGTCAAACTTTCCCGACTCTATGTGTTCATTCAAATAAACAATAATATCGTTCTGACTACAAACACTTATAGGTTAACCCGCGCGCTCGCTCTGAAACCCCAACGCAACCACGATGGGGCCAACCCCTCGACAGTTACAGTGAAACTTCGTATTTCAGAGGTGAGTTCATTAAATCTGTCCATACTCCAGTGTGACCTGTCTACAGCAATCCATTTGTGTTCCATTCACATTTAGTACTAATATGTTTCCTGTATTTCTTAATTTTGTATTTCCAATTTGCGTCCGTATGCACTGTTCCATTGTTGTGTACAGAATTCCGTTTTGTGTTTCATTCGCGCGTTTCCATGTCGCAAGGACTTCCTTTCGACTTCCTTCCTCCTGTGGGTCCTTGTTCCATTCCGCCGTTTCGTCGCTGTCTACAGCAATCCATGTGTGTTCCATTATTTTCGTTTACTTAGATGTTTCGTATTTGATTTGCTTTTTCCAATTTCTATCCGTAGTCCATGTTTCCATTCCACTGTTCGATTGTTGTGTACAGCATTCCGTTTGTGTTCCATTCGCTCGTTTCCATGTCGCACGGACTTCCCTTCAACTTCCTTCCTCCTGTTTGTCCTTGTACAGCAATCCATTTGTGTTCCATTGATAATGTGTTTTAGTACTAAGATGTTTCCTATTTTTCTTGATTTTTTAATTTCAATTTCCGTCCGTATTCCATGCCACTGTTCCATTGTTGCGTACAGTATTTTGATTTGCGTTCCATTCGCTCGTTTCCCCGTCACGCAACCTTCCTTTCGAAAAACTGTATATTCTGGTCTCTGTTTCTCTCTCCTGTCTGTTTGATGTTCCATTCACAATTTATTTGAGTACTGAAATGTTTCCTGTTTCTTGATTTTGTATTTCCGATTTCTATCCGTATTCCATGTTTCCATTCCAAAGTTCCATTGTTGTATACAGCATTCCGTTTGTGTTTCATTCGCTCGTTTCCATGTCGCGCAGACTTCCTTTCGAGAAACCTCATATGGATATATCTTCATATATGATATTTGTATTTGTTTCTTGTCTGTTTAATGTTCCATTCCGTTTGTCTGTGTCCCAAGTCGATCAAGTTTTAGTGTTTCAGTTTCAGCTTTATCTCAAGTATTATATAGCGCATGGACTTGCATATTTTGCAGATCGCTTCGACTCCAACTTGTTTGCCTCCTGTGCCGTTAATCTAGAAACTTATCAAAAGCAATTTCCTGTGAGATTCAATGAATGCCTAAAACACAAACAAATTATCCGTGTATTTAACTTATCTTTTGTTAGTATTTTTGAACGATTGACTTATTTACTTATTTTATTATCGTATACAAATAGCGTATTATATAAAGCACAACAATCCAGCTTATACATTTACGTAGTCGAAAAAAAAAACAAGAAAATAAAATATATATTTCTCCGGGGCGTATTGCGTTTGATTTCCCATGCCCCCTCGATCCAAATCCAAATTATTTACGCAAACTCTATGCCACCTCACACTTTCACCTAGATCCACCTGGCTGCATATCAACCGAACCGCTCGTCGTTGACTCCGGACCCAGCCACATATCGTTGTCGTGGGGCAAGCCCGTGAGCGCAAACTCTGCGCCTGTCATTGCCTACAAGGTGGAGGCATGGATTTTGGGTCATGAGGGTGGCGCCTATTGGCGTGAGTTAGGTCTGACGCCTATTAATTCCTTTGACGCCTTCAATCTGAAGCCCAATTTGGAATACCATTTCCGGGTGACGCCCAAGAATCGCTATGGCTGGGGGCCAGCGGTTCAGACCAGCTCCGCCCTGCAAGTAGGCGGCGTCGAGTGCCTGCCGGAGTTTGTCAAGATTCTGCCGGGGCAGGTGAAGGCGCTGCTTGGCTCCTCGTTTACGCTGCAGTGCAACATGCGTGGTGCGCCGCGTCCAAAAGTCACCTGGTACAAGGATGGCATACAGCTGAGCAACAGCTCGGAACGTGTCAAGATACGCCAGATTGGTTCCACCTGTGCGCTAACCATAGCGACAGTTTGTGAGCTCGACTCTGGACGTTACACCTGTGAGGCTACCAATTCGAAGGGACGCGTCTCCACCTTTGCACGCCTGCAAGTCGTATCCGATCCCAGGCTCTATGAGGCGGACTCGAGGCTAAAGGAAATCGCTCACGGTCACCATCCGGCTGAGCTTGGCGAATCGCTGCCCATTTTCACGATGCGTCTGCGAGACCGTCGCGTCCAGGTCACCTACCCAGTGCGTCTCACCTGCCAAATTGTGGGCTATCCTGCGCCAGAGATACTCTGGTATAAGGATGGGCAGCTGATCAGCTGTGATAGGCGGCATCTGATCACGGCCGAGGGTCAATTCTTTACGCTGGAAATCGCGGCCACAACGCTCGACGACAGCGGCAACTACACCTGCACGGCAAAGAACGAGCTGGGCTCCGTGTCCTGTCACAGCTGCCTGGTGGTGGACAAGGGCATACGCGCTTACATCTCACCCGACTTTTATGTACCCCTCGATCCATTCTATGTGTTCCGCGAGGGCACCGAAATACGTCTGTCCACCAAGGTTGAAGCCTATCCCGCTGTGGGCGTCACCTGGCATCGCAACGGCATGCGCCTGCGGCCTAGTCGACGCATATCCGCCACTCTGGACTCCACGGGCTATGTGGAGCTCATTATTGCCGAGGCAACGCCACGCGATGCGGGCATTTACGTGTGCGTGGCCTCCAATGTGGTTGGCAAGGTGGAGACAATTTGTCGTGTGGCCATCGAGGAGACCGAAGCAGCTGCCACACCACAACGCGCACTGGAAATACCCAGCATCAAGACGAGCGATATGCCGTGAGTAGCACGCACTAACCCGGGCCACAAATCTTATCTTATTAATCTTCAAACTTCGCTGCAGTTACTCCAAGGAGCCGCTGTTTGTGGTGAAGCCGCGCTCCAGCGAGGCCTACGAGGGCGACAACGTCATCATATTCTGCGAAGTGGTCGGCGATCCCAAGCCCGACGTTGTCTGGCTGCGCGATTTTCTAAATGTGAGTATTTTTAGTTTTTTATTTTTCGATCGTTTAGCCAAGTGACGTCAGCAGCGATTGCGGCAGGTTCCAAGCGCTTGCGCAGCGCCACGTTTCTGAGTCAGTTGCATTCGCGGCGCCAACAAATGTGGGTCGCAGTCGTCGCAGTCGTCGTTGTTGTTGTTGCCGCGCTTATATCTCGTTGCAATATCAAATATAAAAAAATAATAATTCAAGTGCAAGTGCGCCAACGCCAAAAAGAAAACTACCGAACAGTCAGTTGAATGAGTTCTCTGGGCCCAGGAAATGGCAAAAATATATAATTTCTACCTTGATTTCCGCACTATTTGCATAAATAGTTTATAAAAAAGTGTAAAACTATTCAAACAGTTGTCACAGTGCAAACGACATTCAAATTTACAACAGTTGCTCGTGCGGATAAATTTTTAAAAATATATATATCAATAAAATACCAATTGATCCGCCCTGAACGAGCAAAGTGTTAACCCAGAGAGACTCCAAAAAGTGCGCCAAAGGTAAACTAGATGTTGCAAGAAGTGTACATTACACTAATTCAAAATTTAATACATTTTAATAAAAATATATTTTTGGCAGAGCAGAGTTTAAGGCGCATCTTTGAAAATGCCTTTTTATTGAAAGTTGTGTGAATGCCATTTTAAAGTAATGATGAAATCTGATTGCTTCAGACCTAGGCCTAGACCTATGCCTAGGCTTCTTCAACAAGTTTGGGACGTTAGATAATTTGTTTAAATGATCATAAAGGCAATTAGTTCAGCAGTTCAGCAGCAGTTAGGCAACCAGTTCTTTGACTAAGCGAAAGGAATATTTTTATTTAAAATTCTTTTATAATTAACTGAAAGTAGTAGTCGAAAGGAAGCCTAACCAGATCCATGCTAGTTATTAATTACATTAAAAGCCCAATAGAAAAAAAACCAAACTATAGTTATGACACTTATAATACATCAAACATTTAAGAAGATTGAATTTAAAAAGCAAACTAAACCCTTAAATTGTTAAACGTTTTTTAAATTAAGTTCCCAATTTGATGTGCTTGCATTAAAACACAATTAAACCCTTTTGTCATCAATACATTTCGATTCTCACGAAAAACCAAACATTTTCAATGCAGTTGATTCCTAATGAATTAAAAAAAAAAAAAGATCTATACACATTAATCTTATCAAATATATTATGCACTGCCCACTTTTGAATGCGTGACCAAAATTGTAATACCCTTGCCCAAGGGAATAACAATGCAGTTTTTTTTTTTAGCTGCAGCTGCTTCTTACTCGAATTACCAGACAACTGCGTCACACGTCGCGCAGTCAATCTCAGTTGTTATACAATTTACACACAGATACACACACACACACTCTCAAACACACACACACACTTGGCATGGGCAGTTTAGTTCTTATAAAGCTGATCTGCTGTCAAACGCTAATTCAAGTTCAACCCATATCAAATAACATGCTTGTTTTTTATACTAACAATTACGACTGTTGGCCAGAGCCAAAAAGGCAACAACAGCAATAACAATACCAACAACAACAAAAGCAAAGCTAGCAAAAAATTATTAGCCACAATCGTGCCGCTGTTCGTCGTACCAAGGAAGCAGGAGGTCAGGGTGGGCAACCCAACACAGATACGAGTTCCAGTTACCAGTTTTCCTATTGACAGTCGCGAAATTAAATTTTGTGCTTATATGGCCATACGCTGTGCACAACAACAACGACAAAAACAACAACAACAATAACATGAATAAAGAACATATATGAGACTTACATGATTCATTCATTCAGCGATCTGTGACGATCCTTATGGCCGCTGCACTGGCAGCTGCAGCATTCCATGTGTCAGTTATAAAGAATATTTTTTGTTTTGTTGTTTCTGTTTTATTGCAGCCGGAGTACTACAAGGACGCACCACACTTTCGACGCATCGGCGAGGGGCCGGAGTATCGCCTGGAGATACCCAGCGCCAAATTGGACTTTACCGGCACCTACTCAGTTATAGCCAGCAACTGCCATGGCGAGGCCAAGGCTGTAATATCTCTGCAAATTTACGCCAAAGGTAAGTCGTATTATGCCTTATATCTATTGACTAGTTGTAGCTGTATGTGTTAATTGTCCGATCGAAGTTCATAATGCTTGTGGATAAATGCTGATGAGACGCGGATAGACTACATCTTTCCAAAATTCGTCGGCCATGCCCAGCAGGCTGGCGACAAACTCGGGATCGGCTTGCACCCAAACGTAATGCAGAGCGCCGTTCGTTTCGAATGTGGGACTGAGCACACAGTAGAGCGCCTTTTTCACGTTGGCCAGAAACATTTGTGTCTGTATCTGGGCCATATACTTGGGCGCAATGGATTCGCGTGCCTCGAGATATTTCTCAAAGTCCTCCTCAGTCTTTGGTGATTTGATTTCGACGATGTGATCATCCGTAATGCCATCTGGGGCACCACACAAATAGGGATAGTTTTCGTGAAGCAGCAGACCACATTCCAGATACTCCTTGTTTTCCAGTTTTTCGGTCTGTTTCAATATGAAACGTTTGTGCTGTTTCTGCTGCACACGATCCTCAATATCTTCGTCGCGTCCCTTGCAGAAGAGCATATTGAAGATTTGTTCGTCCTCCTCCTGGGTTTTGCGTGTGGCAATCATGTGCATCATCGAGCAGCGTATGCGCATATACTGCGCCTCTATCCACAGCTTTGACTTGTACTGCCTTTTGGTCACCTCACTGAGACTTTCGAAGAGACCGCTCTGCGCCTGCAGCTCCAAGTGCTGCAGAAAACTGTGCACATCGTATATGTTATATTCCGCTGCTTTCAACAGCATATGGTGTATCAGAATGGATTCGAATTCATCAGTGGTTTCCACGCATTGACGGTACAGCGCCGAATCACGTCCACAAATGGCAAGCTCCTCGAGCACAGACGTCAGAAATGCACGTTCCTCGCCCTCACTTGGGCTCGATACCTCATCATCCGCCTCGGTGTGTAACTCTCGCATAGGCACCATGTCTTTTATGCGCACTGCCCTTGTGGGCTCCGGTTGAACAAGTGCCTCCAGCTCATTGCCCCAGAATTCCAACAGAGCTGTGGGTTTTTTATCTGTGCTCTTGTTGTGCAGCCAAAATACAAAGGCAACAACATGCGGGCACACAGCTATAATTAAAGCAAATTATTATTATTTTCAATAAGTGCGAATTGCCAACTTGCTCACCAACTCCGGAGCACAGGCTGCACTGGCCATCTGTAAGAGAATTTTCATGGTCCAGTACCTTGATGGCCACATTGGCATGTGTTTCCGTATTGGCGAAGTCTGCGGCGGAGAAGACCAGAGCTTTTAACTCGCATAGCTCACCCTGCCGGCGAAGGTGCACGTAGTCTATTAGCAAATCGTTGTTCTCCGAGGATCTATAAAAACAAGAATATTAGCGATTTTTCATATATATGAAGTTTATAAGTGTGTGTGTGTGTGTGTTTAAAAAGGCGGCACTTACATTTTGTTGTCTGTGGCTGTTGCGAAAAAGTTGAAGACCATTCCGCTGGTGATCGTGGGCAAGCTGTGTATGTCTGCTTTGCGGAAGCCTGGTTCCAAGTCCATGGGCACAATAATTAAGCCACGCATTTGTATTAATTACATAAAGTTGCTTTTATAACAAGAAAAATAACACAAACACGACGCTGAAATTGACCGACACAAACAACAGGCTTCTAAAATGAGTTGCTATAAATAGCCGAAACCAGGGCTGCTGCATATTACCAAAAGCAGCGCTCGCTCACCACGTTCAGCGCTGCTCAACTGTTGTGTAACGCTGGAATGGGTTTCTATAAATAACTGCAACCGGGGCTGCAGTACATTACCAAAAGAAACGCTCACTTACCACGCTCAGCGTTGCTCAACTGTTGTGTAGCGCTACATTTAAATTAGAAAACGGCGCCAAAACGTTATATTATTTTCTTTTGCAGATATACTTAAAGAAAATCGCATGGACAAGGTTCACACGAGACATGGGTGAGTGTTGTCTGTTAAATAAATACAGTATATGTTTTATTTAAATGTCATATGGCTTTCCTTCAGCAATATTGAAACTCTGCCGCGCTTCATACGCAACCTACGCAATCTGCGCTGTTGCGATGGAGACGCCATATCGCTGGAATGCCATGTGGAGGCGATGCCGGAGCCCTATATAATATGGGAGAAGGACGGCCACGTCTTGCCCAGCGACAGAGACTACATAATGTCATATGACGGCATGAAGGCCACGTTGAGCATACCACGGATCTATGCCGAGGACGAGGGCGAATATACGTGTGTGGCCAAGAACTCAGTGGGCCGCACCCTCTCGTCAGCCTGCATTATTGTGGATGTGCCCGAGGAGAAGGAGAACATGCTTAGCCGGCAATTGGCACGGCCAAGTGCTTTGCTATCGGCCCACTCCACGCCACGTTCCACACCGCGCTCGACGCCCAATCGTAGCTTTTCACCCATGAGACTTTCCTACCGCAACAGCAGCATTGATCTGCACACGGGCTCGGTGGAGCGCCGGCGCAGCGATGCACGTTGCATATCAGCGCCCAAATTCCTAGCCATTCCCTACAATCGTGTCGTGGAGGAGGGCGACAGCGTGCGCTTCCAATGCGCCATTGCTGGTCATCCCACGCCCTGGGCCACGTGGGACAAGAATGGCCTGATTGTGACGCCTACCACAAGGATTGCTGTCAAGGAAGTCGACGATCTGCGCTTCATTGAGATCGATGAGGTTGGCTTTGACGATGCCGGCCTGTATCGCATCACGCTCGAGAACGACTTTGGGCGCATAGAAGCCACCGCTCGCCTGGACGTTATAAGCAGCTCACGCTACTCCAAATCGCCCTCGACACGTAGCGTTCGCGCCTCCTCTTCGCGACGCAATGCCTATCTATATCGGCGCATCATGGGCCCATCCACAGGTACGCAAATGACATCAGCAGCAGCATTTGCAATTATTCAAGTCTTGCGTATACTCTAGCTATTGGCGGTCGCATGGCGCTGGCTAGTGGCTTTCGTGGCTCATCCGTGCCCTCGGTGAGATTCTATCACAACAACGTTGAGCTGGAGCCCTCGGATCGGGTGCACATTGTGCTGCAGGAGGATGAGGCGATGCTATTTGTGGACAACGTTACATTGGACGACGAGGGCGTCTACACCTGCATAATAAGCGGCGATCATGATCCCCTGATTAGCTCCATCGATGTCAAATTCCATGGATCAAGTACTGAAATTCAACATCGCCCCGCTGTCATTACTGAGCCGCTGCCCGAGCTTACCAAATCCGTTGAGGGCGAGGTGATCGATCTCTGTTGTGCCATAGATAGCGCCGAGCCCTACAGCTACGTGTGGTTGCGCAACGGCGAAATTCTGCCCGACAGCGAGGAGTTCAAGTGAGCACTGACTGTACCCATTCCTATTGTATACCCACTTACGTGTGTGACTTACAGCTACATCGATCACGGCAATGGCTGTCTCTGTCTGCGCATCAACGACGCTTTTGACATTGACTCCGGCATCTACAGCTGTCAGGTGTACACGTCCACGTCGGATGACACCGACTGCGCGTGCGACTGCAGCAGCAGCGGCGAGCTGTGCGTGCTGGAGCGCGATCTAACGCGGCACGACGAGAGCGTACAGCTGCTGAAGACACCGCTGCCGGTGGTGTGTGCGTCAGGAGCGGAAGCTCTCTTCTATGCGCGTGTTTACCCCTGCGAAGCGGATGCCGAATGGTTTCTCAATGGAAAACTCATATCGGATGACTCACCAAACATGACGGTGCGTAAGAAACACACACAATATCAGCGTCTGACCCAAAACGTATAACCCAGAGTGAGACACACCGACTTCTTTATACTCTTAATAATTAACTTAGCTCTTAAGGCCTTCAAGCTTGTCGATAGTTCACATATACCCCTTGGGGTAAGGATCCTAATGAAGCAATTTGTGTGCGACCCAAATTTGTTGTCATGATGTGTTGTCGCCTTGCCTGGCTTGAGTTGGGACAGCTTTCGAGCGGAGCAGCACTTGAGGCTGCCTTGCCGCTGGCCACTTCGAGAAGTAGGAATGCTTCAGTCGGATAAAACCCGCTACGTACCGCTACTACTCGTCATCAGGCTGCCCGCCACAATTATTGACAGATATAGATTTTATCTATCGTAAGAAGAGGTCATGAGTTGTTTACCTGCAAACTTAAATGACTGTAGCTTTAAAAATGGGACTGATGTAGATAGTAGGCGTGGTCATAAAGTGATAACACCATGGTGTGGGTATACACGACTATATATATATATTTATATATACCCAAAGTTTCGAGTCTCTATTCTATATTGCAGTAAGCCAATATACCCTTTTCACTTTGTGAACGTGTATGAAAACAAAAGCGTTCGTTTACACCTTGTCAACGACGAGCGTTGTGCGGTGAAAACAATAACAATAACAATACGCAAGCATTTATAGACACACACACACACACACACATACGCACACAAAGAGCAAGTAAAGGTGCTATAGTCGAGAGTGCCGGACTAAGAGATACTCTAGAATTTTGGTATTTCAAACATGCTTCCATCATTCTTTTCTACATTGTCTTACACTATTTATTGGAAATGCAGTCTCAAGTAACTCCGTTGTTTATAGTCCGATATAAATGAAGTTTTCAGGGCTTAAATATAGCATAAAAACGTGTGTATATACCAAAGTACAGGCAATAATGCATAAAGATATATTAAAGATATATATCTTTTTCTGTGATAAATGGGGGCATGTGCCCAAAAAGTTAAATATTCTATATAGGGTTTGGTACATGTAGCTCCTATAATCTTCGCATTATTCTCAAAAAACCCTGTCTAAAAATAGATATTAAAATGGGTGGAGATATAGTAAGGTGAAAAAATCGTTATGCGTATGATATATGATAACATATACGGACAGACAGAGCTCCTAATGCTGCCCAGAATATATTTACTTTGTGGGGCAACTTTGACTTGGCACTCAACCAATATACCCGGCTTGCCCATTTGCAATGTGCTTAGGGTATAAAAAGATTAAAATGCCGCGGCATGCGCAACGCATGCAAACGATGTTAGTGACGCGTCGCCGTCGAATCCAATCGGATGCGATGCTCGATCGGAGAGCAAACAAGCAGCCAGCCCAGCCCCAGCTCCAGCCCCAGTCACAGTCCCAGCCCAGGCACTCGTTCAATGGCTTTCAAACGTCGCGCACAACCAGCAGATCGCCCTTAGAAAATACGATATAACATACGATATAACAATTGCGATATTACAAATTGTTGTTGCAAGCCCGAACACAGACAAGATGTCACAGGTAATGGCATCTGGCAATTATTGCTAACGATCCGCAATATCGATATCATGAAACATTTGTAGATAATGTAAATATGGCTTTAAAGCCCGCGTCTGATAAGAACGCGCGCGCGCGTAGCGTGAAAGTAACATTACGAGCGAAACTTGAAACTGAAACCGAAAACGTGCCCGATATCAAATACCGAGCGTGTTCGCATTGCTCGGCTTTATTTTATATATGTTATTCTTTTTTTATTTTTTTGTTAAATGTTCTCAATAATTAATTGGTGGGGTGTCGCGTCATTCTCACTTTGACACTGGCCGTTGGCGCCTCGCATTGCGCTGCCTGAGCTTTCAATTGTTCAGATATAGGCACATATACACCTATTTATATTTATATCTATATATATATATAAATGTTTGTGTTCATCGTATAGAAAAGTTAACTAGGCGCATATTTCATTGGCTCGGCATTGTCATTGAGCCGCACTCAAGTATTTGCTCTGCCTTGTGCCAGCTGTTTTCACACACACACACACACACACACACACACACTACTCTCGCACACTCGCAAACTCCTCAAACACATGCACACTCGCAAGCTCCTCACACACTCACACGCACACACACATACTTGCATTCACAATCTCCTCACACCCACACATATACTTGCACTCTCAAATTCCTTACACACGCACTTGCACTCGCAACCTCCACACACACACACACACACATATACTTGCACACACAGCTGCTAAAACGCTTTATCTTCATTTACAGTTGGAGTCGTATCCGGAGAACGGCATTCGCTTGCTGCGCCTGCGAGACGTCCAGCTGGCCCAAAGCGGTGAGCTGCGTCTGCAAGTGAAGCATCCACAGCCGGAGCGCCGCACGCCCGCCGCCCGCAGCTACACCAGCCTCCTAGTGCTGCCCACGGGCAGCAGCAGCAACAACAGCAACAGAGGCAACCAGAGCAAGGAGCACAACAACAACTGCTCGCTGGCTGCCAGCAGCTGCATTTTGAAGGGCCCCGAAGATTGCACCGCACTCATTGGCGGCCACGTCCAGCTGAGCGTGCACTATGAGCCATTCCCCAACACCAAAGTCATCTGGTACAAGGCGGTATGTATGAACAAGCGAAGGGATGAGATAGCTATAGCTGGCTAAAGGTATATACCCTAACAGACATAGGGTATCCATGCGACGAGGCTGTTTTGAGCAGAAGGAGCGACTAGATGTAGCTTGGAAATGTTTTATATATACTCTTAATAGCCAATAGATTTTGCCTATATATAGTATGCAGTCCGATTTGATACGGTTATATATATAGATATATTAGAAAAGAAGGTCGTAGCTAGTTGAGAGATCTTTTAAGACTAATGTACCTTGAAGGTTGTTTCCTCTAGAGCTTAATGATGTGGTTATATAATGTTCAACCCTTGAACCTTGTAAGTTCTAAGAAGCAGACAGACAGACGAACATGACTATATCGCCCCGGCTATATATATATATACAGTATGGAATGGAGGCTGTCGCTTCGTGACAGAATTAGGAATACCCTCTACTTATAGGCTTGGCCTGTCTGTTTGCCTGATTGATCCCCGAGTTACTTATTTTATAGAGATCTCTATGTAAATCGTTCCGCCTTTGAACCAAATCGGGCATTTGCACAAAGCTGTTGCGCAACGCGAGTTGACAAGCGACCTAATTTGGGCAAAAAACCCGTCAACAGCTCGAAGATTAGCACAGTTGTTATGGCCATGATCCCGTATCATGCTTTTATCTAAATAAGCCCGCCCCACAGACAAAACCCAGCTGCTGCTCTTGGCTATCTGAATGCTGCGTATGGGCATGGGGCACGTCTCCAGTCTCTGGTCTAGTCGCGGATCTAGTTAGTCGGAGAGTCTGTGACTGTGTCACGATCAGTTTGCGGTATTGACGTAATTGTTGCCAACCGCAAAGACAATAACAACAAGGCGACGACGACGACGGCGTGCCCATCGAAGGTTGCCCGCAATACTAATACGCTTGTTGTACCTTTTTGCCTTTGCAGTGCCGTCCCATTGTTGAGGGCGCCAATGTGACAATTCGCAGCACGGCGCAGCAATCGACGCTTTATATAACGGACATAGCGGCCGATGACAGCGGCAAATATACGGCGGAAATAATGAACGAATACGGCGTGGAGGCTGCGGCCGCCTCGGTGGCCGTCGAGGGACCACCAGAGCCGCCCAGTGGACAGCCGAGTGTCTCCCTGGGTCCGGATCGTGTGGCCATAGCCTGGTGTGGTCCGCCCTACGATGGCGGCTGCATGATCACGGGCTTCATGTAAGTGCATAATTCTGATATCTATTAAATTCCATTAATAACAGCCTCTCCCCGACAGCATTGAGATCCAGACTTGCGAGCCAACGGACTGTGATAGCGTTAAGGATAACGCTGACTGGCAGCAGTTGACCCGCGTCGTGGATACGCTGGCCTATACCGTCAAGGATCTGCTGCCACAGCTGCAGTACAGATTTCGTGTGCGCGCCGAGAACATACACGGACGCAGTGCACCCAGCCAGGTCAGCGAACTGGTGCAGTTGACACGCACAGCCACAACAGTGGATGCTGCTGCAGAAGCAGCAGAAACAACAGGCAATTCCCTGAGCGCTGTGTCAGTGCAGTCTGGCGGGGATTTCAAGTCACGTTTCGAGATCATCGAGGAGCTGGGCAAGGGACGCTTTGGCGTGGTCTACAAGGTGCAGGAGCGCGCACAGCCCGAACAGCTGCTGGCCGCCAAGGTGATCAAGTGCATCAAATCACGCGACCGCCAAAAAGTGCTCGAGGAGATTTCGATAATGCGCTCACTGCAACATCCCAAGCTGCTGCAGCTGGCCGCCTCCTTCGAAAGCCCCCGCGAAATTGTCATGGTCATGGAATAGTGAGTACCGTTAATTATGTCCATATACCTATTGATTAATTGTGCTTCAATTACATAGCATTACGGGCGGCGAACTGTTCGAGCGCGTTGTGGCCGATGACTTTACGCTGACCGAGCTGGACTGCATTCTGTTTCTGCGGCAGGTGTGCGAGGGCGTCGCCTATATGCATGGCCAGAGCGTGGTGCATCTGGACCTGAAGCCGGAGAACATTATGTGCCACACGCGCACCAGCCATCAGATTAAGATCATCGACTTTGGCTTGGCCCAACGCCTGGACACCAAGGCGCCGGTGCGTGTGCTCTTCGGCACGCCCGAATTCATACCGCCGGAGATCATAAGCTACGAGCCCATTGACTTTAAGTCGGACATGTGGAGCGTCGGCGTCATTTGCTACGTGCTGTAAGCGCACAACAAATGGATAGCGATTTATTCGACTTTACTAAATCTCCAAATTCTTTTCTTATTGCAGCCTCTCGGGCCTGTCACCTTTTATGGGCGACACGGATGTGGAAACTTTTTCGAATATCACGCGTGCGGACTACGACTATGATGACGAGGCCTTCGATTGCGTGTACGTAGCCCCGATCAATCTCTGTGTTAAACGAATTCCCAACTCTAACTGCTTACAGCTCACAAGAGGCCAAGGACTTTATCTCACAGCTGCTTGTGCACCGCAAGGAGTCGCGCCTGACTGCCCAGCAGTGCCTCGAGTCCAGGTGGCTGTGCCAGCGCCACGACGAGAATCTCAGCAATAACAAAATCTGCACGGACAAGCTCAAGAAGTTTATCATACGACGCAAGTGGCAGGTCAGTCATCACAGCTATTCTAACTAACTGCTGCTCCCACCTTGTTTTGCTTGTGTCTAACCAATGCTTCGCTTGCTTCCCGCTGCTTAGAAAACGGGCAATGCTATACGCGCCCTGGGTCGCATGGCTACGCTGTCCGCGTCACGTCGCAATTCAGCCATTGCCATGGGCGCCTGCAACAGTCCGCGTCCCTCCATTTCCGGTCTGAGCCTGCTGAGTGCCGCTCATGTGGGCGGCACGCAAATGGCGTCCCTGAACGAGGAGGAGGATGATTTTAGCGGCGAGATGCCGCACGTGGACAAGCGGAAGACGACGGGCGTGCTGAGGCTGCGCGACAAGTCGCAGTGCAGCGAACGCAGTGATTCCGGCTATAGCGAGTGCTCCAATGGCAGCATGGGCACACAGGAGACGCTGCTACTCACGCTGGCTAAGAACAAGCTGGAGCAAATAGCCAAAGCGAGCCAGGCAAGTGAGCCCGCGGACAATCCAGCCACGTTCGCAAGCAGCGTGACGGCTCTGGAGCTGCCTGCCAAGGGTGAACCCATAATGCTGTCCGACTTTACCAATACGATTAAGATGCGCAAGAAATCCCTGGAAGACAGCTGCACGCGCGAGAAGCCAAAGCCACATGCCACCAAGCCGATTTGCGAGTCCAAGCTGAAGGTGTCCCAACTCAAGCACAGGTTCCAGCAATCAAATGCTGCCGCTGCCGCCGCCGCCGCCGCTGCTGCTGCTGCTGCTGCTGCTTCCGCACATAAAAAGCCTGCCCCAGAGCCCAATGAAATCGCCAAGGTCGCGAGCACGGGCCGCATCAGTAAACGTAATAAATTTCCCTAGCACACAACGAACTGCATTATACTCTATATACTCACTATTCTCTCTCTCTTTATCTATTTGCATAGCCGCTGGAGAGCCCGCGAGCAGGTCAATTGTCGCCAGTAAAGCGCGACCAACACAAACCCAATCCATGCCCAGCTCACCGCTGCCCCAGCGCGCCGCAACGCCAACGCGGCTGAGCAGTCGCGTCCGCGAGACAGCGGAGCGTCTTGCCCAACAGCACACGGTGGCCAGCGCACAGCGGCAGGCGCAGGTCAAGGGGAATGGAAACGGCCATGGACACGGACACGGACATGGGCACGGGCACGGGAATGGGAATGGGAACGGGCACGAGTCACGTGCGCGCAGTCTCATCAATAGATTCAACGAAACGAAACATATCACGTCCTAGCTTTTATGTCGCTTAAAGCTGATTTACTTAATTCACTTTATTATTGCAAATATCATTAATTATTTTTTATTTTGTTTTGTGTTGTGTATGTAAAAAACAAACCCAAGGAAAATCTGTACGAAACACTCGAATATATATACATATATATATATAAATATATATATATAAGTATATATGGCTGCGAATGCGAACTAATTGTAATCCAAATCCGAATCCAAATGCACCCAACTTTATAGGCACTGGCACTGGCACAGGCAAATCGCACTGCACTTAGGCTAAATATTTAAATTATTGTATCAATTTATATACATATCTATTTACCATACTAATTAAAGTTAATATAACGAAGCCAACGCTGTCAAGCCATAGGCAAGAATCCATCAAAAGCCCCGACTCATTATTTAAGCGATAAAAGCCCTTAAACTCTGTTCGCAGAGAGGTAAAAGAGTATATAGGTTCGTGGCGACATAATAAGCAGAGCCAATTGCACTAGCTTATTCTGAATATTTTCCCTTGTTACAATGAAAGCGAGAAGCATTGAGAGAAGTGCATGCTGCTTAGGCTTTTTTAAGCATTGATTCTTCCTTCGCTTCTCTGACAAAGTGATAATTAATTCTAATATTTTTTGAAGTAAAGTAAAGCTAAGCTAAAGTAGCAGCGAGAAGCGTTGAGAGAAGTATGGCAAGCTAATTATTGTCTCTTTTTTGCTTGGCCTTTGATTTTACTTATCGCTACGCTTCTTGCTTCTACACCCAACATTCTTTGTCTGGCATTTTGGATAATGTAAAGGACTGAAGGTAAGGGTAAATAAAGAAGCGCTTGGCTATGTTTCTCGCTTCCATTTTTTACGCTTCTCACTGGGCTAAATGATGCGTCACATTTTAGGAATTTTATAAAAACTTTGCAACTTTCACTGATGTCTCGGGCTGCAGCTGCCTTGGCCTCGTTTCCTACACTAATTGCCCTCCACTAGACTGCTTCGGGGTGTTGCTGGCGCGGCTTAAGCCGCACCCAGAGCCCGCCCGAGGCGCGTAGAGTTATGCGAAACGTGGCCTCGAATGTGGTCTTGCCGGGCACAGGCAAGAGCTGATAGCTGCGCAGAAGGCGGGATACAATTGTCTTGATCTCCAGTATGGCAAAGCGATTGCCGATGCAGTAGCGCGGTCCGGCGCTGAACGGTATGAAGGCATATGGATGCCGCTGCTCCACGTTGTCGGTGCTGAAGCGCTCCGGCTTGAACTTCTCCGGCTCGGGGTAGATGTGCGCCAGTCGATGTGTGGCATACGGGCAGATGAAGATGTTGCTGCCCGCCGGCAATGTGTACGCGCCCAGACGCACCTCCTCGCCCAGCTTGCGGGCAATGAGCGGCACGCTGGGATACAGACGCAACGCCTCCTTGATGCACATCTCCAAGTAGCGCATCTCACGAAGGTCGCTCATCGTGGGCGCACGATTGCTGTAGTCGAAGATGCGCTCCAGCTCCTCGTGGCACTGCTCCTGCGAGTCCGCGTTCTGGGCGAGCAGGAAAATGGTAAAGGCAACGGCGGCGCCCACAGAGTCCTGGCCGGCCAACATAAAGGTGCACGCCTCGTTGACAATGTCCTCCTCACTGAAGTCCGGATTGCTCTCGGAGATTTCAATCATATAGTCCAGCAGGCACTTGCGCTCCACATTGTTGTTGGCGGCATCGGCCATAATCTCGCGCCGGCGCTTGATCATCTGGCGCGTAAAATCATTGAGACGCTTCTTCTGATTCAGCTCATCGCTGGCCAGCGAGGTCAGCTGATAGATGGCATCGAGCAGCAGCCAGGGCTGGGCGAAGCGGGCGGGCATCATCAGTTTGCCCTTGCGAAACGGCGAGTCCTCCATCAGGCCCAGGCCCTTCTTCTTGATGGGCACGCCCAGCACAGCCTCTGCAAGGTTAAATGGGATTAGGATTTGGTCTGGACCCAGTCAGGCGAAACGCACCATTTAGCACATCGATGACACAGTTGTTGACATATTTGGCAATGTTGATCTCGATGTCCAGCGCCGAGGCATCCAGATGCTCGTTCAACGACTGCGATGCATCCACGAAGGTGTCTATGAACTTCTCCAACAGGCTCAGATGGAATGCCGGCTGGATGAGCTTGCGATGCGTGCTCCACTTGACCCCGCTGCTCGTGATCAGCCCGTTGCCCAGAAAGTTGTGCATGAGCCGATAGAAGAACACCTTGTTCGTGTGTTTCTTGGAGGAGAGTATCACCTGCAGATCTTCCGGCTGCAGCACCACAAAGAACGGAAACAGCAGCACCCAAATCCGCACCAGCGAGCCGTACAGATCAAAGGCCCGCGCAGCGCGTTTGCGCATAACTGCAAAAGACGAGACACCGGGGGCGTATACGTAATTGGGATTTATATCTTTAAGTTCAAGTTTTGAGCACTCACGATCCTTCTCGTTGATCAGCAGACAGTTGCCCAGAAAGGGCAGCGATGGCGGCCCGGACAGACGCAGCGACAGTAGCACTGACTTCAGATAGGAGAGAAGCTGTGTGTAGAAGGCATAGATGCTCAGCGAGAGCACCAACAGGGCCAAAGCGCTGCACAGCTCCGATTTGGTGGCACGTTCCAGCTATAAGTGAGGGGCGAGAGGGTACTTGGTTAGTCAACAATTTGTTTGCCCTTTGGGCAATTTAATCAAGTGCGTAAAATATATTTGCCCGAATCCCCCTTTGCCAATTGGCCCTTGAACGCACTTCAGCTTAATAGCATTTAGATACATATCTCACAGATACACATATACACACGGACACATATCTAATTGACTGGGAACGTCATTAGTGTGTGTTGTGAGCCAGCTCGTGCCTCATGTCGTAAGTTTTTGTAAACACTCAGCCATCCACAAACGCCAAAATAATCGACGAAAGTGCCTGCCAAACGGTGTGAATTGCTTGGGACAACACGTCGTATGCGCATTTAATACACACGCACACACACACTAGCACACTCACAGCAAATTTCGATTTCATATGCCCGCCTCTGACGATATTTCGGCAACAATTGATTGTGCCGCGCGCAAGGACGCCAGCTCCAGACACAGATACATATATACATACACAGATATACAGATACACAGATACAGATACACAGATACAGATAAATAGCTACACATATACAGTTATTCAGATATAGATACACAGATACAGATACAGATGCACATAAATAGATACACAGATAAGGTTACACAGATATAGATACACAGATACAGATACACAGATACAGATACACATATACAGATACAGATACAGATACACAGACACAGATAGAGCTAGAGTTACAGTTACAGATACATTTATATCTTCACCTCTGCTCTGCTCTGGCTCTTTCTGCAAGCTCAGGGCCAAGCTTGTTGACAAGAACAGCGCAGCGCCCATTCATAAGCCGAAACAAAATATTTTGATTAATGATGATCACCAAAACAGCCTCAGATCATGGGCGCACGTTTTGTTTTCGCCTTTTTCCCAGAGCGGGGCTTTGTTCGATTTGGGTTTTGGCCAAGTAAAAGCGTCAAGCAATTAAATACGAGCACTCGTATGTCAACTGTTTTGTGGTACAACAACAAAAACATAAAAACCAAACCGAATTGCACACAACAACAGGAACTAAATGTAGTTTCGTTTCGACGCGACACAACAGAATACCCTACCAAACTATGCCTTAAAGGTATATAATATAATGAATACAGTACCTGAAAAACGTATAAGGAAACATTTAAGAGAGGGAAGGAGTAAGAGAGCAAAGAAGAAAGGGAGAGCGAAAGAGTATAAAAGCGAGCAATCGAGCAAGATCAGAAGCAAGTGGGAAAATAAGAGCGAGAATGCGTATGAAAATCAATATTAACAGCCAACAAAATACACTAAACACATTCAAATTTTTAGCCGGTACTTTTAATTCATGAGAATCGTATAGAAAGGCGATGACGAAAAGAATGAAGAAAAGAAAGATCACATATGATAACACTTCGCATAAATTTTGAATACAATTGTTAAATTAAGCAGCATTCATGAGAATCGCATAGAAAGGCAATGACAAATAAAATGATCACAAGCCATAAATCTTCAAATCTTTTGAACAGCACTGTCAGATGAAGAAGCGCGGAAAAGACAAAATCGCTGGGCATAACTTTCATTCATGAGACTCGCATAGAAAGGCGCTAGATTTATTCTAAGACTAGGCAAGAATTTTCTGATATATTTAATATTTTTTTGTTATTCGATCCGAACAAATACCTTGTTAAGTTAAAAAATAAAGACTTTTACATGCACATCCGAGCACGCACATGCACAAACACACACACGCACACCACAAGCACAAGATTCAGGGTCAATTGCGCATTGTGGCCGTAAAAGTTTTGTATGAACATAATGTTGTATATGAATATACATATATGCATTAAAAATTTTAAATAAATAAAAATAAATAATTGTAAGTCGAGGTACAGGTGCAGCATGGCAAATTAGATGCGTACGATAATCAAATGTTATTTTTTTTTTATTCGTGTGTGTAACTTTCCGAAAGCGAAAGTCGCCGTGCCACGCCCCTAACGGGGGTAGGCGAGTCGGGGGGTTGGGTGGGGTTAGGTGCCTAAAAGCCAACGTGTGTGTGTTTGTGTCTGTGCGCAATTCGGTTCAGTTTTATTTTCGTTACATCTCTTGCGAATGCAGTATTACATTGTCATTGGCTGGTACTTCTGGCTATTGCTGGTTCTGTTCGATTCTGGAAACAGCTGATAAAAGATAACAAAACGAACCTGGGAGCAGGGCACGAATTAGTGTCGCTGGCTTGGACTGAATCTGCGCGAGCTGCTTACCCGTAATCGAAACAATCATAAATCCCCTTTAGAATATCCCTTGCGCTACCGATCTGTGTGACTTAGACCTCGTAGCCATCGGTCAATGCGTTCGCATTGGGATTGTGGAACAGGCTGCGCTCCCCATCGCCCCACGGGAAGCGTTTGTTGCGACGACGCAGATGATCGTACTTGACAAACGGCTGGCGCGGCTGCTCCCCGGCCTTGGAGCGATAGGCATTGATCATGCACAGGGCAATCGCCGGCGTGGCCACCAGGAATGTGACACGCTTCCAGAGCACCGAGCCGCTGGCATTGCCGCCGATCAGGTTCAGATTGCGGCCGACCTGGCTGAGCCCGGGGCGTACATAGCGTTGCCAAAACTGCGACATTCTTCTTGATTGTTTAGAATTTATACAAATTTTTGTTGCTTTCAGAATGAATATATATATATATATAGATATATTTGTTGCCCGGCTCGAAATGTGTCTGCCAGTTGGGATTGATATTAAAAAATGTCTCAGCTACACAGAAGGAAATTCATAAAACAACTCGATTGATTTTTGAATTTTTGTTCGACCAGACAGGGTATCTACCTAATGGCCCACCCACACAGCCTCAGGCAATTAGGAACTTTCAAGGGGAACAGTCCACCTGATCCAACAACGTGGCCACAGACGCCGCTGAAGCGCGGCTTCCGCTCTGCCCAACTATATCCCATCTATCGATCGTTAATCATATATCATAAGTCCGGCGAATTCGTGGCTAACTGGCGTATTTACACAAAACTTCACACCTGCTCACTAATAAATGTACATGATTATTTCCCACTAATTCTATAAATTATCATCGTCAGCGTCTTTTGCTGCTCACACGCCCAAAAAAACGGAACCCCGAACCCCAGGCCAACAGAAAAAGAAAAAAGGTTTATAACAATAATGAGATATCTGTTAAGTTTGATATCGCGGAAATATCACACTCTCCGTATTTGAAGTAACCACAAATAAATGCAGGTTTTGTGTCAACTGCATAAAGACGCATTGCATAATATTTAATGGAAGTCTTTTTTGCTTTAGATGTTCAAATTTTGTGGGTTTTTCAACATATACAAATTGCACATGTTTCAGATTCTATTTAAGCTCACTCTGTCTCTCTCTCTCTCTCTCTCTCTCTCTCCCTCTCTCTTTCTTACCTTACCAAAAAGCCGATAAAGCCTCACTCTCTCGGTCGTGCTGTCTCTCTTTCTCTGCCTTTCTTACCCTACTTAAAAACTACACCCATTTTTATTCATAGAATTATAGAATTCTTCCAGAAGTATCTCATATTTGACATTTTCGATTCTCAAATTTCATTTGTTTTCCCAAAATCTTTTAATAAAATATCCATTCAAGTCCAAATTTCTGCAAATATTTAAATATGCATATATGCAAATAATATTTAAATAATGTTTTATCTTTTTTTTTATGCATAATTTTCCAATTATTTTATTATATTTTTCATACGATTACATTCATTTGTTTTATATATATAAAGTATCTATCACAATCCCACTTTTGATCTGTTTTACTTCAGATTCCTTTTCGATCTCTCACAAATTGAGTCCTTTTGGATTTATCACTTTTACTCACCACTTTTTCCACAATCATATTCCTCGTTTAAATTTGTCTTTGGAAACTCAATTTATGCTCTTTAAATTCTACGTTATGCACTCTCACCGATTTCTCACAGTATATAGAATATACATATGTGTATATATATAATATTTTTTAAAGAACTTTTCGGAATTGTCCTTAAAATCGACAACGAGTTTTTCTCTTGTTCAATTCACACACGCCGACAGTTGAGTTTCAAATGGTGGATTTCGGGCCGGGCAACGTCTATTTATAAGCAAAATGTTCGACGATAAAAAAAACTAAATAAATGAAACGAAAATCGCTTCAATGGGGCGTACGTGAGACGTTGCCTTCGGAGATGAAGAAAAAGCCAGGCCTCAAGTCGAATTATGGGTGACAACAAGCATATATACTATATACTATACACTATATATATATATATGAGCTAAATGAAGTGCTAAGTAACCAGAACTAGGAGTAGACCCAAAGTGAAATATTCTCAAGCATATATTATTTGTAGGCCTACAATTTAGGTACATTATTTTGTCTGATAATCTGTTGCTAGGCTCTCGACCAAGCTCTTCAACTGGGCTTAAAGCGTTGCTCCAGTTACTTGAAGTACTTTAAGCATGCTACTATTCGGTTTTTTTTTTTTATATTTATTTATTGATTTAAAGTGCAATCCAGTCTCCACTCGAGCCCCGAGTAATGCCCTAATGCCCCCTGCCCGTCTGGGACTCCTCAAACAACAAGTTAATTGCATAAAATTAATAAACAATTTTAATGCATAGAACTTAGTTAAAAGTTGACTGCATAATGGACAACAATATTCGGGAAGAAGCTAACAAATATTATCATCAACATTTCCGTGAAATTTCAATATGTTGACACAATAAAACGTGTTTATTTGAACATTTAAATTGGGCATTTATGAGCCGCGCATTGAATACTTTTAGGCTGACAGCTGCACTCGGAGCTTGTAGGGTATTTTGCGGCGCATATAGATAAAATAAAATATTTAAAATTAAAAATCCAAGGAAAAGCTCAGGAACAGATTGCTGACCCATATAACTATTTACCTTAATATTACGAGTCCAAAAATGGGAAAATCCTTTCATTTTTTCCGATTCGTTTTACAGTAACAATGTGGCATATATCTTTCCGATCTATTTTTATTACAAAACTAAAGTACAACTACCTTTCGCCAATGTACAACTACCTTTGGCCCCAAACATTGCAATTTTACCATTTTTGGTAGATCACAATTTTGGGTAGAGGTCAGATTTAGCCCGAATTTTGCATATGAAAATATCTACCAATTGCAATATTTTCAGTGCAACGGGCAATGGTATATAAAAATTGAAAAATAGCTTTTTAAGCATATATCAAGTATATATTAAACGTGTCACGAGCAAGGCCGGCGTATACCCGCTATTATCCCATATAGACAAAGGTCGAAATTTCCCATCCCCATATCTCGGTTAAAACTCATATGATTTTCATAAGGTTTGGCTTTTAGTGCATGGTCTGCCCTCTAGATCAATTAGACATCTAAATCTGGGAGTCTTATTCTTGGTCAAAATTCATGTGTAAATGGTACCCTCAAATATCATATATCATTCATCCATGCGTACACGTAAGACTACATGTCCGAATACCTACACATATGTACATGCATGTATGTTTGCATTTTTGCATATATAAATATATGCATACATACATGTTAATATGTGTGTGTGCATGGTGCATAAATATGTCGCAAGTTTGTGTGTATATATGCAAAAATACATAAGAGGACATGTACGCAGGCATTCATGCATGCATACATGCAGATATGGATATATGGATACATGCATAAATGCATAAATGCATGCATGCATACAAACATACATACATGCATACATGTATACATACATGCATACATGTATACATACATGCATCCATACATGCATGCATGCACGCATACATACATACATACATGCATACATGCATACATGCATACATACATACATACATACATACATACATACATACATACATACATACATACATACATACATACATACATACATACATACACACATACATACATACATACATCTATATACATACATACATCTATATACATACATACATCTAAATACATATCTACTTACCCGCTCCGCCCCCGTCTGCTGCACCGCCTCCAGTTGCCCCTCCACCGGCCGCTGGTGCCAACGTTTCCTGCCTTGAAGCATTTCAGCAGCGCCTACATGAATTTTTGAGAATCGAGGAGGACAGCACTTGGTAGAAGTTCGTTATATTTAAATTTGCAGCACCGCGATAAATAAGCTATTAGAAAACAAACTTTCCTGCATACATATACACACACATAGATGCATACATACGTGCATGCAGACACTAACACACACACACACACGCCCACACACACACACACATGCATACATACAGACGCACACACATATATATTATACTTATATGCCTTCGCACAAAATACTTGATTATATATATAAAAAGCCAAGATGTGAACCAAAACCAAGGGTCCAAGGATGGTAAAAACCAGCTTCGAACCAAATAGACTTGATTTAAACCAGAAATCGAACAAGTCTTTAAATGAAAAGTAAAACCTTAGATAGTACGCTGCCATAAAATAAAAACACAACGAATTAAACAATAATCTATTCTCATAATATATGTATGTGCCAATCTAATGTTAAGTAATATACAAAAAACCCTGAATATTTCAATCTTAAGCCCTGCCACTACTTTGACAAGATATTGTGAAAAATATGGGGAAAAAAATCCACAAGTATATGAACCAGCGCAACCCATATATGGTTCCCATTCCGTTTCCATCCACGTTGTTCAATGCTTGACTGCCTCAATGCCGTGTCGCACCAGATCGATCAGTCCCAGTCTCATGGAGGCCCAATAGATGAAGCCTCCCAGTATCAGCCCCTTGCTGATGCGATCCAACACATACATGCTGTAAATATAAAAGCAGAATAGATTAGATCACATTCAATTGGTGGATCCTGTTGTTCGCCTACAATCGCAGCTGTATGCGCGCCTTGGGCAAGGAGGTCAACGGCTCCTTCATAACATATTGACGTCCACCCAGAATGCTAATCTTCATGTATTCATAATCGTCCACATCGTTTGTATTGATTTTGAAACTGCGAAAGGGGCATTAAAAAGATTAAGTGAACATTGATTAACGATCAGTAAGAATTTGGGGTATATTAATGAAATCTGTTGTGCAGGCTAATGAGCTGATTTTATATTTGAAATTCCCAATTCGAAACCTCTGGCATATCCGTGTAGTATATTAAATACATATAGCTGGTATCAGCAGTTGGCGTACATTTTGCGATCTTCCTCAGATATTTCTTTATAGATTTGCTCAAAATGCGTTGACTTGAAGTCCCAGTTGCGTGTTGTGAAGAATTGTAGCACTTCCAGGCCCACCGATATCTTCGTTTGCACGCGAACCATGCTGAAAGCAAATCGAATGCAGGCTTAATAAACAACTTTATAGGGTATATCGAATGTCGACTCACAAGCGACGCTGTCCAAAGATGGCCAGAAGGAAATCAATGATATAGGCGGGCAGCCACATAAACAGGATGGTACAGATGGTATGATAGAATTTGCTGGTTGTCATATTGCCGTCCGGATACCAGAGGCCCACGTCGAAAGGGTATTTCAGGCCCAGATCGCGGCCCACATCCATGATCCACTTCCAGCTGCGCTTCTTGGCATCATCGACTGTTAAATTATAGACGGGTATCTGCTGGGGTCTGTAAACGATTAAGTTTAGACTAAAGCTGGGAAAGATATTTCAAGAACTCACTTCTGCTTAAGCCGACTGTTGTGATACGGCAACAAAATCAGGCCATTGATAGCTATGTCCACTGGTATAACCTCTGACCTGAGCTCACCGTTGCAGATCATGGAACGGATGACACCTTTGCCGGCACCAATCAGTACACCTGTCGGTCCATTCATATTGTCCACCCAACCAGGCAGCGGCTCCGCGGCAGCGGGCGTAACTGCACAGGCGGAATAAATGTAATTCAAATTCGAATAAACAAATAAAATTATAATATATATGTTATCCAGGGATTAAGAGTAAACAACTAGTTGGAGATGAGTACAAAAACCTAAATGCGTATATTTATTTGGAAAACCCTTAAACTAAATTGAACTACAACTAAATGCTATTGACTATATAAATTCCAGTGACCACAAAAGTTAAAGAATCCCGGAGATTCAAAACATTGCCAGCACGCCCGTCCATTTCAGCATATAATAGGCAAAGAAGCCAACGATGAGGGTCTTGCAAACGATGTCAACAACCCATTGACTGGAAAAGAGAAAGTTTACAATAAAACAGTTCTATTAAGCAAAATTGCCAAAGCTTACATGCGCATGTGCAGCTGTGCCTTGGGTATATCCTCATCCTTTTCCTTGAGTATAAACTTGCGTGCACCCCGCGCGCACACTATCAAATACTCCTCCTCAGTTTCCTTGACATTCATGTTCATATTGAAGCTGGCAAAAATAAAAATCGGTTTAGTTGCATTCAGGGAATACCTCTTCTATATATGGTTACTCACATGCTCTTGTCCTGCTCGCCCAGGTTATTCCAGAGGGAGGCGTAATTCTCCGACGTAAAGCTCCAAGCGTTCAGCGTAAAGAACTGTAGCACGCCCAGGCCAATTGAGATCTTCTCCTGCACGCGCAGCATGCTGCTTATACGAAAATAATTGGTTAGATTTATGTACATCAATTATTTCTCTATGGGCACATACAAACGCTTCTGTCCCAGAATGAGCATTAGAAAGTCCAATAGATACGCAGGCAGCCAGTGGAACATGGCCACATTGAACTTATGATAGAGCTCATTGGTTGTGACACAAGGATCCGGATACCAGAGACCCGCATTGAACGGCACCTGCTTATTGATGCGCTTGCTCAACTCCACAACAGTGCCCATGGGCATCTTTCTGTGCTCGGCATTTGTGATATTGTAGACGGGCACTTCGGCGGGTCGCTTGGCTTGCTTATTAAATTCGTAGGGTATGACAATGAGACCATTGATTGCATAGTCCACGGGTATGACTTCAGCCTTATTCTCCTGATTCACCAGCACCGAGCGTATGACACCCTTACCACAGCCAATCATCAGGCCCGTGGGTCCATTCAGATTGTCCACCCAACCAGGCAGCGGCTCATAAGCAGCCGGCGATACTGTTTGGATACGGAAGAGTATTAGACTTTCGGCGTAAATGGGAGACTCTACATACCAAGTAGCCCAGGATGATTTGCTGACTGTTGTAGCTGGATGATAACCGAAAGCCAATTAAGTGTGCATGTGTGTGTGTGTGTTTGTTTATGTGTGTGTGAGTAGGTGTGTTTAAGTAGTGAATTGCTGTGAATGTTGTGCGTGTCTTAAATGTATTCATTGTAATTTACGAATAGGTAAAACTTTTCGAGTTTCAACCCTTATTGAAATCCGGTTGAAACCTTGATTTTGATATTGTCTTCCTTTGTATTGTATTGTGTGTGTTTATTGTGAGTGCATTGTTGTTTTGTTTTTTTTTGGCTTCTGGCGTAGTCCTTTGAGCACTTGTGCAATAATACTCAACACTCGAACACGTACACATTTTAAGTTATCGAACCGTTTTATTGCATTTCATCGAATCACTTGACTTAAGGCTAAAAAGCAAATATGCGAAAAAACGTTTTGTACCCCATAAAAAAAGCGATCCTAAGCAATATTGATAAAGCGCGCAAATGTTTTGGCTATATGCTTCCCAATTCTCTCTTCCAATCTCTCTCTCCCACTCTTTTCTAGAGATCCCACTCCCGCTTCAGACACCCACAAGGCGTGAGACCAAGCCGAACATCCAGTAACCCAGGAAACCAACGATAATCGTCTTGCACGCACGATCCAACAGATACATCCTATAAAATAGGGTTGGGGTGGAAAGTGTTTGGTAAATAAATAAATGGAGAGAGGGTTATTTTGTTTTTTTTTTTGGCATTACAGCATGAGTTGGCGGCGCGCACGGGGCAGCGAATCGGGCGACTCCTTCATCAGATACTGACGACCGCCCTGCACGCAGGACTCAATGTACATGGGTATGGTCTCGACGGGATCCATGTCCATGTTAAAGCTATTTGATGTGTGTGTGACAGAGTCAGTCGAACTCTTAAATAGAAATGGAACGGTGTGTCCTTACTTTTTCCTGTCCGCTTCTGTCAGCATGCTCCAGAGCGAGGCATAGGCATCCGACTTGAAGTACCAGGCGCGCATGGTGAAGAACTGCAGCACCTCCAATCCGACAGAGATGCGATTCTGTACACGTATCATACTAAGCGGTTTTGAGGGTGCGGGGATTTGGGATTGAAGAAGGAACTGTAGTGTTGGCACAGGGTCATTGCCCGAATCCGAAACTTACAAACGCTTCTGGCCCAAAATGAAGAGCATAAAATCGATGACATAGGCGGGCAGCCAATGGAAGAGCAGCACATTGATATTGTGATGGAATCTATTGGTGGTTATGCAGCCATCCGGATACCAGAGACCCGCCTCCATTGGGTACTGATAGCCAATCTTTTTGCTCATCTCAATCACCTCGCCCCATTGCATCTTGCGATGATCGGCGCACGTGATATTATAAACGGGTACATCCACCGGTCGCTGTTCCATTGCAAACTGATATGGTATGACGCAGAGGCCATTGATTGCATAATCCACCGGTATGACCTCGGATTTGTGGCGTGTATCGATGAGCATGGATCTAATGACGCCCTTGCCAGCGCCCACCATCAGGCCAGTGGGTCCATTCAGATTATCCACCCAGCCGGGCACGGGCTCATAGGCCGACGGTGAAACTGCAGGAGATTCGTTCAGTACACAGTTCCAGATCTCTCAGAGCAGTTCCAGATCTCTAAGAGCAGCAGCAGCAGCAGCAAGGGAAATAATGCGAAGCCGTAGGCGTGGGCATGGGCGTAGGATTTTTTAGAGCGTGTGGGAGTTTCCGCTGGGCGAAAAGGCAGAGGATATTTGGCGGTTGAGCTTTGCAACTCGTTTAATTGCAGGTGCTTAGATTGGATCTAGCGGCAAGAGGCGGGGGAGCTGTTGGAGGCGTGTCTATTGTTTAGCATTATTTATAAGCTTCAGTTTAAATTGCAATGCCGTCTTTAATTTCATGCTCATTGAACTTGTTGGTCAATGACGACGACAGCGACAACGACAACGACGACGACGATGATTTCTTACAGTTTGTGTGCATGTGTGTATTATGTGTTTGGATTACAAGCAGTTTTATAAGATGTAGACAGAGATCTTTGTACTAGTATTTGGCTAAAGCGCTGACGTTTATGATTATTGCCAGTTACCATTGTTTGTTGTTGTTTTCCTGGGCGGGCTTGTACACATTGACAGCACGTTAAAAAATATTTGAAAAAAATGCTATTTGCATTACAACGGGACACATGCCGTTTGGCAAGCCCTTTGCCAGCTGCTTACAGTTAATTTGTTGACTATCGATTGATTTTACATTGTATCGAAAGCCTTGCCAGACTATTAAGCTGTCCGCTGAGCCAGCCTCCCATCTCGCTGGCGTGCTGCCAGTGTGTACAAAACCCCCCGTCTGTCGAGTACTTAACACACTTTTGCACACTCTTTTCAAGCGTTTTGTTGTTGTTGTTTTCAGTGTTGTTGGTCTAATTCATGTGCTTAGCAGGCGGTGTCAATTATGGCTCTGACATACAAACACAAGATATACAAACGTGCCACGGATACACAGTTTAAAGACGAACACACAAGGTACGCTAAAGCATCCAAAACTATCAATTAGCAGTCGGCAAAAAAAAAAAACAAGGCGCTTTTAACTTAACCAAAACTTGTGCCACACCCACCGCGCAGTCGAAAAGTGCGGCTTTCAATTAGGCAACTTCACGCGACCAGTTGCCAATCCCATTTTAAAGAGCCGCGCTAACAGATTTGAACTTTGCGAACTTAACGCTGACAAAGTCATCAATTGATCAATATTTAAACAGTTCGATTGTCATTGAAAGCGGGTCGCGCTTTACTCAAATACACTGTGCAGCACACATTTTGCACATTTTGTATGCCCACAAATTGCGGATTTGAGCTCAGACTGCATTTAACTGAGAGTATATGCTAAATATTATAATACAATAAGACTCCTAATACCGTTTTAAATTGTTTCCATTAACTCAGCTTACAGTGGCCTCCAAAAAAAACGGCCATGTTTTAATCGTCGCGTAAAATACATATGTACACACTGAATTTGGCATTAAACTACAGATCTATAACTTTAAGAAAACCATCTCTTCAGCCTTATACATTTAAAAAACTTGACTTAATTCGCTAACAAATATCTTTAATAATCTGATCAAAGATAGCCTCTTTTAAATATTGAAATTATAAAAAAGTTAACTGTTTTTAACGAGCTGTTCCCTTTTATGACCATCGTTTAGGTAATTTGCGAATGCAGTATAATATAATTACAGTTAATCGTTCGCAGAAATATATTTTTTAAATCATTTTGAGTATTTTTTCCGTTAGGTAAATTCAGTGGGGTCAACAAAAAGGTCAATTATCTGAAGTTAACCGTTTGCTCAATTACAAACACACTTTTGCCGTTCCATCTAATTGAAAAAAAAAAAAAATGCGAATTGCAGCCGTAGGATCAGGTTTTTAGCCCCACACTTGCAAATGAGAAATCTCAACTTTTATTTCAATTGCCATTTGCCTAGAGTCGTAAAGTCTGTAGAATGAGTTAAGAGCTAGCCCGGAGCGAGACCAGAAAACGGATTGTTGCAGCTGGTTGCAAGGAAAAGCTAAGACAAATTAATTGCATGGTTTTTTGGTTTTTCTTTTTGCCAAGCGAGACTTTTATAGACGGCAGGGCGGAAAGCCAGCAGAAAATAATATTTAAAAAATATACGTAAAATATGATTAAACTTAAGGAAGCAAGCAACCAAGCTTAAGGCGACGTGCCTCACCAGCTGAAAGCCCCACAGTTATTAGGCACACGAATATTTATATATATATATAGAGAGATAGACATGGAGATGGCTTACCGATGCTGGGACGTGCTATGATGACCGGCATCGTTTCGTAATGGTCGCGCACCAGCAGCTCGGCGAGACGCTTCGAATAGGTATAGGTGTTGGGATGGGGCTTCAATAGATCGGGCGTAATGGCATCCAATGTTTTCACATCCATCCATTCAGCCAGGCGCATCAGATCCTCGGGCTTGTGCGGAAACTCATAGACCTTCTCATACATGACTTCCTGATCGCAATTGCAGAATGCCGTCGACAGATGAACGAAAGCCTCCAATTGTTTCATATCCTTGGCCACGTTCAGAGCACGCTTTGTGCCCAACAGGTTCATGTCAATGGCGTCCCGCAGATTACCCTCCAGCTTCAGAGTGGCGGCCATGTGGAACACTATGTTCGTGTTCTCCACCACATGCTTCAGACTGTCGCCGCTCAAGCCCAGCACTGCAAGCAGGAAGAGACAGAGACAGAGAGAAAGAGAGTTAGAGACTTGCGGGGGAATTGTTTCAAGTGGAGAAGCTTACAATCGTAGGTCACATCGCCCTGGTAGATGGTCACCTTCTTCAGCATGTGTGGCCGTTCGTCCTTGATGCGTTGGAAAATGGGCAGCTTGAACATATCCTCGAGCCGCGCTTCGGGCGTCTTGCCGCGCTTGGGACGGCAAATGATGATCACCTCCTTGAGCGAATGGCATGAATAGAGCAGCTTCTCCAGCAGCACCTTGCCCATGAAACCGGATGCACCGGTTATGAACACGGTCTTGTCCTTATAATATTCCTGCACGGGCGATAGATCAGCCATCTTGGGTACTGCAAAAGGCGGCAATGGAAATCGAAAGCATGAGCCGGGCACATTACACAGACCACATTCCGGGCAGCCAGCCAAGAAAAACGGCAAAGGCAACCGCAAGTGTCGCAAGCATAAACTGGGCTAATTCTGAAAACGCTGGAAACGGGTTTCTTTCTAAATGGATTGAATTTATTGGACTTGAAGCGCGGCGTCGATTTCGCATTTCTTTGCATTTCAGTTGGCTGTCGATTACGCAATGCGGCCAAGAGGGGCGAACGGCTCGCTGATTGGTTTAATAAGTAGTAATACAATGGTAGCAACAATCTCCACAACAACATGCAGCAGCAGCTCCGGCGACCATTTGGCAGAAGCCGTTGCAATAATACGAGCGCGCCAGGAGACCAGACCACCAGCTCGTCTAACGTGTCTGCTGTTTGTTTTTATGAACGAGTGTTGCAAGCTCCAGCTCCAGCTCCAACTCCGACGAAGCAGCAGCAGCAGCAGCACACGCAGCATGCAGCGTGCCACAAGCAACTTTTGATAGCCGTCTGCAATCGCCGGCAAATTGCAAAATCAGAGATTGGCGCTGGCTGGTTGAATATGAGTTTGGGTTTGGGTTTGGGTTTGCATTGCAGTGCACGTTACACTTGGCCAAATCATGTGCACATTGTGTGGCATAGCCAAGCCAAAAATCGTGCCACTTTTGTTTTAGTAAAAGTGCCTTGCTCTTTGGCCGCAGCCGCAGTCGCAGCGTGACATTTCTAAACGGCCTCAATTTGAAAAGCTACCCAGCTAAAACTGAAACCGACGGGGTATGCTTGACTAGTTGCGCGAACGGATTCAGAATAAATTTGGCATAAACAAGCACACATATTGCTTGTAAGAGTTAATGTCCATGGAAAGTTTTAGAAATCAACATTATGGCAGCTAGAGCTGCAATAATTAATTTATGTTTATTTATTTTGCAAACGCAGTAAAGCTTGTAACGCGTCAAAGTCAACAATTTTGTTGTGCACTAGCATGTTTTTTTGAATATGTTTTAATTAAATTTTACGAACGGCGTTGCCAGATTTGAAAAATGCACTTTGCTTGACGTTTGACATTATATGCATACGGTACTTTTATAGCGTGTGACCGTTCGCTCTCTCTCTCTCTTTCTCTCTTCTTCCACTATTGACTGCAATGCAAATCGAAAGCCCCAGCATATATGGACATATACAGGGCATCGGCTGGTCGTGCTGCTCTCTGTCGGCTAAATCGCGCATTTCATGCAACACTGAACGAGTTTTTTGGCATCTCGGGTTTTGTCACCCGGCCTATTTACCATAAATGAGACACATACATATATGTGTACGTTGTAATTGTCTAAGCAGAAAATAAAGACAAACAACTGTTAAGGCAGTTAAGCGTTTAAGGAAAGCCTGGCCCACAGTCTGAGAAAGCACACAGCATGACAAGGCAATACAACAAATTGTATTATATGTGTACCTTGAACTAGAAATCGTGCCAATACTCGTACTACAACTACTGTTGGCAGCTTGTAAACTTGACTAACTGCAACTGCAATGAATATGCACACTTCACGCCTGTCTCTTAATTTTTGGTTAACATTTGAGGCAATTGCCTCATTTCCATATTTATTGCCAATTAAAACGCTTCTGCTGAATGCGTCACTTTGTCTATACACAAAACACAAAAAAACAACATTCAGAAATAAATAAGAAACAAATCGCGTGCAACTTATGCAAGCCCAAAGACAGCTCCAATTCAACGAGACGGCATCAAATCTGCGAAGTCTACGCAAAGCGGAAAACAAAAATCATAAGCATAACACACACACACACACACACACACACACACACACTCGTGCATGGAAAATGCCAAAGAAGTCGAGGCGAGGCGAAACTGAAATTGAAACCAAAAACTGAAACTGAACATTTTCAACTGTAGAGGGCAAACGGATGACTTAGGCAACGAACTTGCGCACTGTGGCATGCAATATAATATTTTGAAGAGCTTCAAACTTGACAACCATAACATGCAACGTATACATATGTGTATGTACATACATTATTAGCATCGTTTAGGCCATAATTTGCAAGAGCCAGTTTCTGGCGAGGTCTTCATAAAATCTATATATTTCGCAAACGTTTGAGCACAAAAAAAAAACTACAAAAAACAAATTCAACTTGTTCTTGACACAAAATTATTTAAGTAAATAGATGAGAACTCAATAGATAAAAACTAAAAGGGAAATTATAGTATTCTTGGTGCTTAAACTAAGAAATATATATCAAAAAATATATAAATAAATGAATCAAAAATAAACGAAATATTGGAATATAGATATGTTAGCTGATGCTGCCCGATTTAGTTGACGCCCATTCATTTGCAGGGTATTCACAAATGTGGTCCAGCTCAGTTGCCGTTTCTTCTAATCAAATATGCATAGTCAAACATTTATGAGCTGTTGGCCAAATCCGAGTCCCCCACTTGGATGACACAGTTCGGCATGGTAACTATGGACAGCACAACTGGCTTTATTTTAAAAAATGACACGGCTTTAATAAGCCCGTGTGTGTGTGTGTGTGTGTGTTCGTGTTTTTTTTTAAACCGGTTTGATTAGTTACTTATAATATTACTTAAGCATCTCAAATGCGCATACAAACAATCTGAGAAAAAGGCGTTGCTTACATTTTGCAATGATAATATGCTAGTTAATGTAACTACGCTTAGAACAATGATCAATGTACGATTGGAATGGGAGAAGAAGAAACAAGAACAACGAAACTAATACAGAGTGCGATGGACCGATCAACTGCCCCTCTTATAGGGTATACCAGTTATGGCAACATCTTGCCAAAAGAAGAAACAAAAACAAAACAAACTTCATTTACTTTTCGAACGTAACTTTAAACTTAAACCTCGCTGAGATCCCTTTAGGGGTCTCCTCGATGGCAAAATCATGCCACGAACTTAATAGGAAAAGAAAATAAATTAATAAATAATAACCAATAGCCTCCAATATGTAAATGGGTTTGTAGCGATTGCCATTGACACACAAGCGAAAGAGAAACGAATATAATTAATTTGTGAGATACGACGAGTTGCTCGAAATGGATCAAAACGAACAGAAAAAAAATAAAATAAAATAAAAAAGGACGGCTAGCCTCGGCACGCCGCAGCTTAAATACCCTTATGGACGCCTGGTAAAGGGCAAAAAAAAAAAGAAATCTGGGAAAGCATAATACTTTCCTATATAAAACTCATTTTTAGTTAGTTTCTTCCTATTGTAGATCTATGATATGCTAGAAGATTTTGTATGCAGCTTGGTAGAACTCTTAAAGTTAAGAGTTAAGTCGAGTCAAGATATATCGAAAAATGCAGCATGCTTAATGTATAACTAAGCTTTCCTATAGCATCTAGAGATCCGATCCGATACGATATAATTCATGCGTCACAAATGCTACGACAAAAGTGCAATAGCCACAAAAAGGGCAAATAAATTAAAAGCAACAGAGCTTATAGTATTGAGAGAGATCGCACAGCAAATACCCTGCCATAGAAATATATTCAATAATTAATTGTTAATATATGTATCATATATCTATATATATGTGGTATATATCATTATATAATTGTCCAATAAATCGCTTGCATGTTAATTGAGCACTTTGCACTCAAAAGCTGTGCTTTGAAATGTTGTACAATTAAAGATTAATTAAAAACAATTTTTCGTTTAAATAACATACAAGTTTAGAAACCGATTGAACTTTGACATAAAACTGCCGCTAGTTCGAATTCCTAAGCAGAGAGATTAAAGACACCAAAAAAAATAAATAAAAAAAGAAGAAAAGAAACCCAATTCACAGTTAATTAATTCAAGGTAACTAGAAAACCAGATGGAAATGCTTAAAAACGGTAGCATCAAACTAGATCGGACCTGACCCCGACCCTGACACGGCCCGTGACCCAAAGCGAGGCAGCGCTTTGATGTGTCAAAGGTAAATGTAAAGGCAGATGTGGCAAAGGTAAAATAATTAATAATAGACATTATTTCCAATTAAACGCTCCGCTGGCCAGCTAATAGCTAATGCCAAAATGTTTCAAATTGTTTACAGCATTTTTTTTGGCTTTGTTTCATTTTGTTTTAAAGCTAATTACGCGTATGCAAGACAATTAAAGAAGGCAAAAGGTCGCAAAGCAATTGTGCTCATACAAAATTAAATGTAGACGACTTTTAAGTGTTTTGTTATAAACACAAGGTGTTAGGCGCATTTTTTTTTTTTTTTTTTTTGGTTTTAATTACCTTTTGCAATGCGAATTGTTCCAAAAAACACGTTATATGCACAAAATCAATACAGATTTGTTATATGAGTAAAACACACTATCAAAATGATGCCACGAGCACACGAGAAGATTGACGATCTGAGCTTGGAGCCAAATAAATAGCTGGAAGCTTGCAGCCTGGAGCTTGGAGCACGTTGTGCGCTGTGCGGCGTTCAAGAGAAGACTGAGCCCCGTCTGGCCGGGCGCTTGTCAATATGAATGAAACGGCTTTTGGGTGTTTTTTTTATTTTTATTTTTTTGGTGCGTCTCGCAACTGAAGTCTAGATATTTATTAACTGGTTGGGCATTATTCGGCCGGGATGTGGCAAGCTTTGTTTGGCGGCACCTGCAAGCCAGCTGCAGCAATAAATATGTATCCAAATGGGCTAGCGTTCATTTGCTTAGCAAATTTGGCGGAACTTTGACCAATTTGGTTGCGTCCAGAAAGGAAGTTTTGTTGGTTTTGGCACCATTCAAATGGTTCACTCTCAACAGCAAACATATTTTGCAAACATTTGTTTTTCAAGCGTTTGTTAATGCATCTTCATTTCTCATACATAGTATACTATATTTATGTATCAATTAATCATGGCATTTGTGGCGTTTGCTGGGCTAATTAATAATTTGCAAATCCAATACATTTGGTTGTTGCACAATATTTTGCGATTCGCAATTTTTGTTTTTCTTTTCATTTATTTCAGTCTCGTTATGCAATTATGAATATCTCATGAATATTATAGAGTTTTGTTGCCAAACATTGCGAATTATGCCAGGCACATCAATACATACCCAAAAATCCCCCACACAATCTTAAATTATGCAAAAAATATGCAAATAACTTAAAAGTCGCAAAATGAACAAATGAAACTGTTTTAATTAAACCGCCAAATGGCCAACCGTCGATAACCGCAGCGCATATTCAATTAGCCAGTGTTGCCACCTCGTGCATATTTCAACAACTTTCAGGTTTGAACATTTTTCGTATCGATATGTCAATTTTATCTAAAAATAGTATTTACCTATAGAAATTATTGAAATTTTTCAAAAACATAGCCTAATACTTTTCAATTAAATCACTTTTCAGCGTAAAAATGCACACATAGACACCGTAACTTTGGACTATCGAAAATTATCGTTTCACTCAGCATTTGCATACAATGGCACGGCAATGCTAAACGCAATAAATTAATAAGCTGCAAATAATAAGCATAATAATAAAATAGACAAGTTAATGCATTGTTTATATGAACTACAAGGAAAAAAGTTGGTCCAGCATACTTTGACCACGTGCGGCTCAATCATCGATAGAAACTATCGATAGCGATTTATTTTTACATACCACCTCACGCGAGTGCGATTGGATTTCATTATAATTTGGAACAGGGAATTGCGAAAATTATTGCAAGCATGGCCGAATTAGACGATTTTTTTGCGAAAAAGGACAAGAAGAAGTCCAAGACCAAGAGCAAATTTGTGACAGCCGATGAGCTAGTGAAGAACCTAGAGGAGTGCACGAAGCGTGAGGTGGCTGCCAATGCTGTCAAACCCAAAAAACCTGATGTCGCGACAGCATCGGCTGGCGGCGTGGCAGAAGGCGGCGAAAACGAGACCAACATCAAAGCGCCGGAGCCCGTGGTCGAGGTGAGAGTTAGCAGCCAGTTTTCCAACGCGCATTTTCAACGATTTCTTTGTTGCGTTTTTCAAGAAGGTCGTCGAGGAGGAGTGGAAAGAGTTCGAGCAGGAGCAGCGCAAGGATTACAGCGGCCTCAAAATTGGCCAGCTGACCATCACCGATAGGCAACACCAGCAGCAGCAGCAGCAGCATCAACAACAACAACATCATCAGTCCGATGATGTCTACGACGAGGATGACGAGGACAGCGACGGCTATGCCAATGCGGATCCCAACAGCAAGCGTAGCGGCTATGGTCCATGGAAAAAGCTAATACCTGCCGAGGAGGTGACTCAAATACCGGTGCCGGTGGAGACGGACAACAAGTCAGCGTCGAAAATGTATATTTCACCCGCGTTACGTGCTGGCGTGAGTATTATATCGTATTGCAATTCATTGACGATCGTCTGATATTTATTTGATATTGGACTTTGCGCTCGACGCCCGTTCCAAACCTTTCGTTTGTATTGAATTGCAGCTAGCCGGCAGCGGGATGGGCAGCGGCGGCGGTGGCAGCGGCATGCGTGCGCGTCGCACGGCGCCAGATATCACCAATACCGAGTTCTTCCCAACGCTCAATGCAGCCCGGCCGGAGGAACAGCGCAAAAAGAAAAATGAACCCGCCTTCGAAGAAGTCCGTCACGGTGGTCGCTATCAGCGAGTGCAGGAGGCAGCCGCTGCGCCCGTTGCGGCCACCAATCGATTCCAGTCGCTCGACGATGAGGCCGACAGCTAGGCCACGCCCATTGTTGTTGCCGCCACCGATGCCGATGCCGACGCCACAAACAAACAAAAGAACAATTTACCGTATTCATCTTATGTGCTACACTATACAGTTGCCACACACTGCAGCAAGGCGCCAGGTCGGATCGCCAGCTAGTAGCGCGTGCGGGACCTGGATGCGAGATTCAGCTATAACAATTTATAACGAGTTCTTTTCTCTGTATACATATATACATAATAATTGTAAACATTTTTCTAGGCTTTTCGATTTTTACCCAAACCACCCCGGAAACAAATATTGTTCATTTCGTTTGCATTTTTGAATTATGGAATCAATGTAATAGAGAGAGAGTATGAATAATAGCCATGCGTTGAAATCCTTTCTAGTAAATTGTATACGTTCTTTACAAAAGCCATAAGCCCGAGGTCAGTTCAGCTCGTCCGTGAAGAGATCTTGTGCTGTGCTATCCGCGTAGCTGCAAAGATTTATGCAAAGTTCAATAGGACAAATCATCTTTGGCCGCAATTTTTGGATCTCGCACTGACTTCTCACTGTACGACGCCTGCGGCGTGTTGTGGTAGGAGCTAAGCAACGGCTTCGACAGCATCGCATCCGGATAGTTGCGTATCAGATATAGCCAGCACTCCAATCTCCTGTTGTGAACAAGGACCAACTATTATTTGCCTACAACTGCCCCTCGTCCAACTCACTCGTTTTGATCCGTCAATATGGTTTGTGGCTCGCGATCATAGTAGCGGGGGTAATCCTCCAGCACGTCCAGATTTGAGAGCATTGTGTCATCCACTTCGTAGATCTCGCCCTGGACATTGTGGCCCACACCCGGCTTGTCCAGCAAAAATGGAATGTTGTACCGTGTGCCGATCACAAGTGGAAACCTGATCACCGTCGTGCCCTTGGCCAGGAAGCGGGCCAGGCCATTTGCTTTGGTCGTCAGCCAATGATGGTTCGGCTCGCCGCTCTTCAATGTGCCATACACGAAAACCCTTTTGAGCGTTTGCGACATTTTCAACATTTAAATATAAAAAAAATTGCCATTGAAATAGTTTTTTGCTTCAATTCGGCTTATCAAATTGCCATTCGCTTGAAACGGTAACACCACAGACTAGATAAGCTCATCTGTTAAGTTAACAGGGCTGCTCCACACATAACAGCGCAGCTGCAAAATTAAAAAAAAAATATCTGAGAGAAACGAAAATAAATATTTATATAATTAAGGCAACACCTGTTGACACTTGGCAAATATGAACAGTTTACTTTACATGCGTTTATTTACGCTGTGAGTTACGTTTTATATAAATAGTTGACTCGAATTTCTTTTATTTTCTCTCGAAACTTATAAAATTACAAACTACGTTCGCTATAAACTAGAATACGCATATAATATGTGTATATATCAGTTAATATTATGTACACCTGCGTCTAAATGCGTGTACACATAATTGGTTTTTAAGTCTGTATACGTTCTACAAATGCAACTACCGGTAGTTATTTATATATATAGTAATAATTGGCCACGCCCTTTCGAACACAATTTAGTTTTGAGCTGTTTCATAGCTGAGATCATCCTGTGCCGGATGCTTGTGTGTGCGACGATGGCGCATTATATAGGGATGTGTCGAGCTATTCTCATAGCCGGACAAATATGGCAGCGACAGCAGCTTCTCCGGATATTTCTGCAGCAGATAGACCCAGCAGGGTACGGTGCTGCAAGCGCAAAAGTTTATAAATAAAATCAAATATGTACATAAATGACGACTTACCCCTCGCCCACGCCGATGTTCATGTCCTGCATCTCGCGCGTGTATATGTCCTGGCAATCCTCCAGATTGTCCAGCGAGTTGAGCATGCGATCATCCACCTGTTGCGTAGATTAGTTATCTGATTAAAGTGTGTGTATATTGTATTTATGTGCACATACCTCGTAGATCTCGCCGGTTACATAATATCCAACGCCGGGCTTGTTGAGCAAGAACGGAATATTGTATCGCGTGGCAATCACCAGCGGCAGCTTCTGTGTCGTTGTCGCACGGCACCAGAAGTTGGCATAACCGTTGCCCGTATTGGCCAAGATCGAATTGCTGGGCTGTCCGTACTTTAAGGCGCCATAGACAAACAATTTGCTCAATGCCGATGATGCTTTCTGTCGAAAACACATTTGAAAGAAAATAAATAATGATAAATGCGTTTTTGCATTTGAACCAGTAGTAAGGCGCAAAAAATCTATAATTAATACCTGAAGCTTATCAAAATTATAAAAAGTTTGAAGAATTTTTCCATACACGCACACGGGCAGCCCCCACGCCGTGAAGGCGTTTGATAACGTCTACGACGACGGCAATATCAGCGCATAAGCTATGCTATGGCCATTAGAGATGAGCGCGTGCCACGATACAACACGGCACGAGCTTTAAAATATCATTTCGTGCGAGTATGACCGATATTTTCAAAATATGTGCAAACAGCACGCACATTTATAAAGAAATTTAAAAATAGAAAGCATGTCAAATAATAAAAAAAAAACATAACGAAAAAATTTAATTTATTTTTACTTTAAACCGAATACACAGACGCTAATTACTTTTGCTGTTGCACCTGTTTCAATTTGTATTCAACACGCTTTCCAATTAGACTTCGTGTTTGTGTCGTGACAAACGCCCATCCCTAACTGTTGAATACCCACCACACGCGCCGCCCGCGCGTATTGATGCTCATTCAACGTAAATTTATTTATAACTTTTTTGTTGTTTAAACTAGATGAAAAGTGCTCATGCTTGTTGTTGGACAACGGTTAATGAATTAACCGGTTTGCTGCATTCACACAATTGCTTGGTTAATTGTTTTTGTTAACACACATACTAACACACACACACACATACACATCTTATTTACGGTTCTTATTGTTCAAGTTTTTCGGCTGACGTGCGTGCCGTGCAAACTGCGCAGCAGCTACGCCTACTTCAAGTTTTAATACATATTCGATAAAAAATGTATGTATGTTAGTATGTGTGTATAAACGTTTTGTTAATAATCACTTTAATCGCGCTAATAAATGAGACAAATAGAGATTGACACGCCACAGACGCTAAAACGAATCTGCCTCCAGTCTCAATGTCATTGTTAATAATTTAATGCATTTTAATGGCAATTTTACTGTTTCCCTATTCTTACATAACATTAAGTACAGACATCAGCACGCTAACACACACACAGACGCAGCCACACAAAGCCAGAAGTTTATAATCATTCAAAATATGATGTTATAAATTTTCCCACGCTTAACTTATAGCAGAGTTGCCAACTTGTCAAAGGATAACAGGTAGCTTACATATACATACACATAGGCATATATATATATATATACACACACACACACACACACACACATGGTAATCTGTTATGTGTATGCTATTCCATAAATTAACATTAAAAATTTTACATTATATGTGCATAGCTATATTTGTATGTACGCATGCTTGTGTTTGGTATTTACCTTGATTTGACCCATTATTCCTTATAAATGCACTTGATTTACTTAAACTTGCTTAAAATTGCAAATTACTTTAAAAATTCAGCAAGAGCTGCACAAACAATACGAGCGTAGAGAGAGAAGGAAACCGAACTGCACCAGCTGAAGGCTCAACTCCAACTGAATGCGGCCGACACTGCTGCGAGCGACAGAGGCCCAACCATTGGAGAACGAAAGTTGCTGCCTCTGTCGCTGCCTCTGCGCTGCTGCTGTCGGTGACGTCTACAGCGGCAGAACTGAGCAAGCCCCTGCCCCAACAAGAATAAATAAAAACACGCCACACGCGCTTGTCATTACTGCTGCCCTCGCCGTCAACATGCTGATCGCTCTTTCTTTATCTAGCAAGACACATTATTAAAATTCGAATACCCTACGCTACAGTAAGTCACAAATTAGCGCACATTTATATACACGGTATGTTTATGTGTGTGTGTGTGTGTGTGTGTGTGTGTGTGTGTGTATATGTATGCATGTAAGACAAGAGCTTATCAAGCGTTTTTTCTTTTAAGTAAAAGGGGTGTTTTCGGCCGCCTTAAACTGGTTGCTTGGACAATGACATGGCCATGGCGTGGGGGGTTCGGTCTAATCCCTTTTAAAATTGAACGTCGTATATTTTATAGCGCCGCCACTGGACCGCACGTACGCACTTGGGCTTTGCAGAGCGACGAAGTTTTTTAAAAGCAGCGCATTAAATGGCCAACTGATTAAAAAACTTATTCAATTGCCAAAAATAAGGCAACAAACTTTGGCAACTGTAAACAACATTTATAAACAATAACGAATTCGCCTTTAAATTTTTTATTACACAGCCGCCAAAACGGAAAAGCGTGCTTGCTCTCACTCTCTCTCTCTCTCTCTCACTTAGCCACTCTCTGCCTGTTATTGCGCTGTACAGTAAATGTGAGGCATTTGCGTTTTAACAGAGCTTTAACTGATATGTGTATAAAACGAATAAGAGATACTTTTCATTTTAGATATTGTTTAACTACATTAGCTTAATTCAAATTCGTGCTAAACAGGGCCTAAAACAGCCCTAGTATATTCACTAGTTCAGTAATCCTTGATGCATATCCCGTTGAAGGCGTAGTGATAATGTTTGTGCCGACAGGCGCACATGTTTGGCGCATAGCAATAGGCTCTAGGACCGCAATCGCTGTAGGGATGCTCGAGATTAGTAGACGTACATTTTGTGATGTTCTCCAACACTTACTGATCACAGATGGGCATGCACTGGGCGCCATGCAGCAGCGTACTGCGCATTTCGTAACCCTGCGCACAGATGCAGCGGCCATCGTACGAGCAGCGGCCATGGATGCAGCGCCTGCAGAAGAATGGAGATAAAAGCTAGGGTATACTCATTACAGCAATAATAACTCACCCGCCGCACAGGTCCAGCAGTCGGGGTGCGCGTCGGCGACAGCGTCGCGCCACCGGATCGTAGTAATAGTGTTTGCTCTTGCGGCAAATGCACAGCTCTGGGCCGGCACAGTGGCCACCGGCCTGCTGGCAGCCGGGCAGGCACTCGGCCGCGCAAGCCACGCCATCCTTGAAGGCGCTCTGGTACTGGTCGGCGCAAGGACATGGCCCATCCTCAAAGCAAACACCACGCTGGCATACAATATTGCAGCGGCGCACACATTGGCGCGTATTCACAATCAGCATCTCGTACTCGGAGCAGATGGGCGGCGGTTCGTTCAGCTCCCAGTAAAGGTACTCATGATAATAGCCGTGGACAGGGATCAGCAGCAGCAGCAGCAGCTGGAGAAGCAGCAGCGGTGACAGCATCTTTAGCTGAATTGCAAATGATTGAGATTGCGATTGAATGGAGCAGTTGGCTTTCCCAAGTATTCCTCCAAGTGAGAGTGAAAGTGCTTTCGATGTGTGTGCACAATTCATTTTGCCCGGTCACGATCGGCGCTACAATTGCCCTCAGTACACATGGCAGATGATGCAATACGGCCGCCCAATGGAAATCACTTTGGGGGTGCTAACTGATAAGCCGGGCCAGACAGATCGCCGATTGCTCGAGTTACAAAATCTCATTTGCATTCAAACAATACGAATAGACGCCGCCTATTACTCATCGCCGGCATCAGCATAACTGTTTAGTGTGGAAGAAGTTTGTGGAGAGGGAGCGGGAGGGGGGGGGGGGGGGGGCTGGGGTCAAACAGATCCAACTCCAACATGTGTGTGCATTCCAAGCACAAAGAGCGCACAGCTGCAGAGAGCAAGCATTTGTGAGAGAGTCAGAACAAGACAGAGAGAGCAGAGAATGCAGTCTGTCAAAAAAGTATAGAAATGCGCAATTGGTTTTCGCATTTCAATAAAATCAATATTCATATTAACAACAATGAGCGCTCGCAGTGCGTTCATAATTTGTAAACATTTGAACTTTTCAACTTTTCCATTTTTTTAAGGGAAAACAATTTTGTTATAGAACTTGCAAATTCGAATTACTGCAAGCTTAAATAGCTAGGCGACCTCATTTGGTATTGAAATAAAATTTTATATAACATACAAACAAGTTTGTCTGGAGTTTAAGCTTGCATTCTATTTGATATACTTATATTTAATTTACACATTACTTCTGTATGAAAAATAATATGCCTTTGTATGCACTTCTAGTCAAACATTTAGCTCGTACCAATACATTTTCGACTCACTGTATGCTTTGGAGAACATTGTGCTGCGCGCTTGTCTGGAATGTCTGGATTTCTGCTGCTGTTGCGCCCCCACCCCAGCTTCCCCACCCCCCCTTGCGCAGACAGCGCACACATCTGGCCTGGGCATGCGCTTCGACAGACGTTTGGCTGCTTTCAATGCGCGCCATTCATTCAGTTTTTCCTCGGTCTCCGTTGAACGCGTGCATAACGCCTGCGCAAAAGGGAGTCGCCGCTAACAAAAAAAATGTTGCAAAATTAAAAAAAGAGTACAAAGAAAAAAAAAAACGCCAACAGCTGCAGTTCAAGCTTCAATTACAACAGCAACAACAACAAAAAGTTTTGACTATTTTCATACGTACGCTTTTGGGCTTAAGTGCGTGTGTGTGAGTGAGTGAGTGTGTGCGTGAGTGTGTGGTGGGGTGAATGAATAACATAAAGCAGAGAACGGCAAGAAAGCATATAAAATAAACAATACCATTTCGGGCTGGTCAGCTGAAAGGAAGTCGCCCAGTTGGTGGCGGGGGTGGGTGTTGGCGTTGGGTGTGTACGCAGAGGCAAGTGCTCTATAGGCGCACACCCACAGAGACAATTATGTGTGTGGCCAGTGCGGACGCGTTCTGACAACGGTTTTTCCCGAATACATTTTCCAACCGCCGCAGAAAAAGAAGAAAACTTCTCATCAAATACGCATCATGTGCTACGTAATTATCACAAGTGTGAGTCTAGTCTGGTTTCTGTGCACCCTGGTCGCCGACATGCTGGTCGCTGTCGCTTTGGTCACGCCCAAATGGCTAATTGGACCTGGCCAGCTCGGCAATTGGAGCCAGGCCACGCCCATAGCTGCTGCTGCTGCTGCTGGCCAGCGTCTTGCCTCCGTGGGCATCTATACGCGCTGCAAGCAAATGCAGCAGCTGGGCTATCATTGTGGACGCTTCGACCTGGATGGCTTTGCCACCGATGGCAGCGTCTATCCGTTGGAATGGAAGGTGGCCATGTTCTTTATGTCGCTAGGCCTGGTGCTGCTCTCGCTGACGGTGGCCGCCACGCTGCTCACCTGTTGCCGCCAGTCGGCCTTCGGCAAGAGCATACACAACATGACCGCCTGTGCTCAGGTGCTGGCAGGTAAGTTGCCACCTGCTCTTTATCTCTAAAAGACTAAACCTTTGCTAATCCCAACCAGGCATTGCCGTTATGCTGGCCTTGTTTCTGCATCCGCTGGGCTGGCGTGCGCCGCGCGTTCAACGTTTGTGTGGCCCGGAGGCGGAACCCTTTTATCCGGCCGACTGCAGCATAGGTAAGAGTTAAGCTCGGATCAATTTAGGCCTGGCTAACACAACACACTCTCTTTGCAGGCATCTCGTTTTACTGCGGCCTGGTGGGCATACTCTTGACGTTCGCTGCCGCCGGCATCAGTCTCAAGGCGGAGTCCTCCAATATGCGCACCCGGGTGCGCCGGCGCGTCGAGTCTGGCAGCAAGCTCGTCTGCATTCCATAGGAATCTCTATAGCTAACAAAATGGCTTTTTCAACTTAATTTAATTTCGAATTTAACTTGTTAACATTAGCATAAATAAACAACTAAAATTTCTACAAGCAGCTACTAACTCCACCTGCAGCTGGAACAGCCAAACTTTAGCTAGCGCTCACTTGCGCCTGCCCTTGCCTTTGCCCGGCGGTTTACCCTCCACTTCCGGCTTGGCCTTGGGTATGTACACGCCGTGATTGGTCTTCTTCAGATGCGCAAACAGTTTGTTCTTGGAGTCAAACACCAGCTTGCACGTGACGCACATGTGCTGCACGACGGCTGGCGTATCCATGTCCATGTCGCCTCTGGGCGGCGCCGACTTGGTCGCCGGCTTTGTTTCAGCTGGCGCTTCGGTTTTTTGCTTGCTGTTGCTTGTTGTTGACTTTTTGCTCTTGGTCTTTTTGGCTGACTTTTTGCTGCGACTCCAATCGTCGTCGTCGTCGTCATCGCTGTTGCTCGGCGCCGCAGTGAAATCTACAGGTGGCACAACCTCCTCCTCGTCGTCGTCGTCATGCCCGCTTGCTACGCATGCCTTGGTTGCGGCTTTTTTTGATTTCTTGTTTTTCTTGTTGCGCTTGCTGCTCGTTTGTAGCTCGGCAGCCCCGTCGCTCGCCAGCTCCGCAGAGTCACTGTGGCTGCCATTGAGTTGCAAGTCGCGAACGCTTTCCTCTATCGCATTGAGCTCTTCGCTGAGATCGTTGAATTCGTGCTCCTCAGCCTTCATTTGCTGACACAAGCGTTCCACATTGTCGCGATGCTTTTTACTCTCCTCATGATTGGCGCGCGCTTTGGCATTTTTAAAAGACTTGTTGCATGCCACGCAATACAGATCGTCCACATATTCCACTTCCTCCTGCTCACTCAAATTGTTTTCACTGTCTGCTGCTGCCGCTTCAGCGTCCGTTTCCTCATCCTCATCTTCATCATCCTCGTCCTCTTCATCATCCGTGTACTCATCCGATTCGCTGCCATATTGTTGCTCCAACTGCCTGAGCTGCTCCTCGTACCCATCATTGTCCACCTTGTTGGCCCGGACTGCAGCCAGCTGTTCTTGTCGCTGGCGCAGCTGCTCCTTGCGCTTCTCCTCCTGCTTCAAGCGATTGGCCTCGGCGCGCTCCTCCAGCACTCGTCTGTAGGCCTGCACGCGGCGATCTCGCTTGCGCACGAACGACACCAAGTTGCGCACCTGCAAGTAGTGGGAATTTATTGGAACAGCTCCATTTGCTAGATGCACTCTCCGCTTACCTCTTCGTTGCGCTCTCTGCGCGCATTCTGCACAATCTTCTTCATTTCCTTATCCACCTTGCGCAATATGAAACGCTCCTTTATCTCCCGGACATCGTACGGACAGAGCCATTCGTAGGTCTTCTTTGTACTATACGACAGCCAGTATCCGTAGAAGGGACCCACCACCTCCTCGTAGCTGCTGTCCGCATTGCCGAACTGTGGTGCGCTCAGTTCGTCATCGTTGTCCATGAACTCCATGTCCTCAGAGGCAATTTTGTTGAAAACATCGCGGTATACGCTATAAAAACCCTTCGTATCATTGCCATAGCCCTTGTAGCAAGAGCCGGTGAAGAACTGAAAGACATCCAGGCAGTTCTCCGAGTATTCGGAGTTCTTGCCGCGAAGAATTTGCTCGCGATGGTTATCGTACCAGGCACGTTCCTGGCCATCGGATAGCACCTCGTAGGCCTGTTGGATAAGCTGAAAGCGTTCCTTCGCCTCCGCCAGGCTGTCTGGATTTTTGTCTGGATGCCAGCGCAATGCCAGTTTTCGGTAGGCGGTCTTAATGTCAGCCTCATTGGAGTCACGGGCCACGCCCAGCTCCTCGTAGTAGCAGCGCATGTTAAATGTTTAACAATAACAAACCAATCACATTGAATTGAGTTTACAAACGAAATTTGCGCAAAAAATTTGCCTATGTTTCACAATAATGCATGGCGCAGAGATGGAACTTTAGATTATCGATAACACACACTGACAGATTGAACATTTGTGGCGGTGCAACGATAATTTTAACATTGCGTTAACATTAACACGTTAGCATTTTAAAATTATGTAGCACACTCTTTTGGCTGCTTCATTTAAATATATATATATATAAATATAAATTGTTATAAATTTGTATATAAGTGGTATATTAAAAATAAATAAAATCGAAGCAAATTCACGTTTTCTTCATGAACGCAATATGTAATTGGTAACAGTAAGCACTGTTGCGATTCGGTCCCTGCGCATTCCGTTAGTTGCTTTTTTCACTTCGGCGGCGGCAGACGTTTCCTCTCGCCGCGCAGCAAACGCCATTTTAGCCGCACACTTTATTGCTACCACCAAAAAATAAAATAAATCTTAGGCCGACACATGCACATACCAATACATCACTTATATAGATAGTGTAAAATGTGAAAAAAGAAATCCTTTCATCTCTTGCAGCCTAAAAGTGGGCAAACTTTTCCGCTTTTTAAATTATACGTTGCCGGGCATAATTCCAATTAATTTGCATATAAAATAATATCAAAAAAAAAACTAAACTAAATACAATAAGCAACAATAAAATATATATATGCATATATACACACGCATTGAAATCGTAAGAGCGAAGCTATAAAGAAATCAAATCAAATCAAATATTCACGCTGCAGTTTAACGAAACAACAATTGAAAATAGCTTGACATAAAAATTTACAGTTACGTTTGGATTTACAACCCAACTACGTTCGTTTCCGCAAAAGGGGAGGCTGATAAAAACACAGACAACCCACACTAACGCACACACACCCACGCACGAGGTTGAGTAACTTCAGCGCACAGCATGAGTCCGATGAGTCCTTGAAGCGGCATCTCAGCTTGCAAACAACCCCCAAGCAAAAACACGCACACACACACACACACACAAACAAAGAGAAGTCGTCGACGCTGTTTGTGTGCGCCTAAAAAACGTCAACAAAAAATAAACAAACACACGCACACAGCTAGAGTTGCCAGACGTCGCGCTGTCTGCATAACGTAAGCACTCACACAAGCACACACACACACACACACACACATGCTTAAACAGATATGTATACGCTATGTATATGTAGCTGCCCTTTCATCTCGTGTGCCGCACAATAAAAACAGGCGTAAAGGATATTATGAGGCAACAGACATTTGCGAATAAGGTAATTTCGCATAAAATACCAGCACACACACGCACGCACACACACACATGCACAGTTACAGTTGCAAACTATAGAAAATGTGGTAGCTCGTTGATGCTGCAGCGCACAGTGGTACGATTAATGGAAAATATCAAAAATAATAGTTGGAACTTTATATAATTTGAAAATTAAAAAAAATACATATGAATAGAGTGTATGAAAATTAGGTTTCATTTCCAAAATAATTACAATTAAAAGGTAAAGATTTTAAAAATTATTAGCAAAATTAACAAATTGAATATGGTAACAAATTAGACACTAGCGAAATTTTTACAATATTTTAATACTACAAATATTTTTTTTTTAAATAATCAATTTTGATAATTAATAGATTTAGGCTCAAAATGTTGCTTGATGCAGAAATTTGGATAGTTTTACTTTTGAGCGCACTTTCTATATGTTCGCTCCACTGTGCGTCGGCGGCTTTTGTGCTGTCATAAATGGATTTTCTTATCAACGCAAAGTGGCCCCAGGAGTCAGTTTGGATGTCGGCCCACGAGCCCAATGCAAACTGCCATCCATTGTCCCATATATTATGGGATTGCATTTTGGAGCTGAGCAAATACTTTAATGACATCCCTTTCGTATACCCCAAACAGCAGCAACAACAATCCGTCCATTTAGACTACGTTTCACATTTCCTTTGAAAGAGAGACAGACAGAGTGAGAGAGATAGAGGGACAATGTTCGGCTCCAAGCTGCGCTCCTGGATGGAAACGCACATCGTGCGTCCCCGCAAGAAGAACAATAAGACCAAGCAGGCAGAGGGCGTCGGCAGCGGCAGCGGCAGCGTCGGCAGCAGCAGCCATGCCAAGAAGGCAGGCACTTTGCCAGCGAACAGCAACCTGAAGTCCACGACGAGTCCCGTGCTGACCAGCAGCGGCAGCCACAGCATCGCCAGCCCGGTGCGTCGGCGTGAGGTGTCGCCCATCCAATGTCATGTGAGTAGCCAGCGGCATTCCAAGCTCAAAGCCATTTCATCCAACCCAATCCTTGCAGACGCCCAGTCGCTATGGCTGGCAATCGCCGGATCAGGATACGCACAACTCCATTACATCGCCCAAGTCGGATAATCTGTTGTACGCGCCGCATCGCTATCAATGCCACCAGACGCTGCCGCCGCTCCAGCAACAGCAGCTGCAGCAGCAGCTGAGCGTGCCCGGCAAGGATAGCTGCAGCTCCAGTGCGGACAAGTCACCGATGCGCGTGAATTGCTCGTCCTCGTCCATTTCATCGCTGTCCTGGTCCACTGGCTCTAAGGAGCCCTCCATGCACTCCGGCCAGCCCAAGCAGGTCAGCTACAAACTGGAGCACATTGAGACCAGCAGCGAGTGCCAGCCGGCCGTCGAGGATGAGGTGGATTACGAGGAGGTGGGCGCACTGCTGTTGCGCCCACAGCCACCGCTGCTGGACTATCAGCGTCCACACTCCGAGAATCTGGTCAGCTTGCAGCTGGTCTACGACGAGGAGCAGCAGCAGCAGCAGCAGCAACCCAATCAGAGCGCGAATCATGTGCACTATGGCCGACTGTTGCCTTCCAAGCTGGTTGAGTCCTTGACCCCAGCGCCGCCTGCGGTGACCAATCAGCTGGGCCTGGCCAGCCGCATGCGTGCACCACGTGGTTTGCCGCGTGGCAATTTTCTGCCTGGTCCCCGACCGCACAGCCTGTCCTCGCCGGAGAGCGCCTATTCGACGGGCTACTCCACCGACGGCAATTCCCCGTGCGCCGCCAGCAGCGCCAATCCGCCGGCGCCCGAGTACTACATCAACATGCGCAGCGGCACGCATTACTTTCCCAGTCGATCCGTTAACTCGTTGGCCATTGAGGCGCAGCGCTACAAGTTTGGTCTGAACCGCATCGAGGAGATGTCCCCCATGGATCCGCTGCCCAAAAGCAGCTTTGGCAACACGCTGGACACGCCCCAGGCCACTCGCAATTGCCAGGGCGCCAGCAAGCTCTTTGAATGTGAGTAGACCGTTAAGTGAGCAATTACAAGCACTTAAAGCAACTGAACCCAACCCAATCCAATCCTTTAACCCAACCCAACCAAACCACCGACAGCTCCTTCGCCCAGGCAACGCTCGCGCATACGTACCAATCCCTGGTACAATACGGCGGAGCATATGCAGCTGATGTCGTGCAGTCGCCTGGATGCGGATGCCACCAGCACCACCTCCACCACAAGCTCGGGCATTCAGTCAAGCAATGAGCTGGAAATGCGCGCAGTCAAAGGAACAACCACAACAACAACAACAACAACAACGGCAATAGGAATTGTCAACCCCAAGCTGAACGCTGTGGCGGGGGCAGGGTCAGGTTCGGTAGCTGGGGCTGACTCCTCGGAGGGCTCGTCGTCCTCGACTGAAGTGGAAAATCTGCATGCACCGCACACCATCAAGCGGCGCCACTTGGAACAGCAGCAGCAGTTGGACTCGTTTCTGGTTAGCGACGATGAGGCGACACTCAACGAGATGATTGGCAAGTTTGACGAGAGCTACGTCTACGAGAAGGAGACCGACATACTCAGGTGAGTGCCAGACGCAAGCTGAAAGTGAAGTGCTTCAAGGACTTCTTGTTGCACTTGCAGCAGCGACTCGGATCCCACGGACTGCGCCTCGGAGTTGGACACGGGCCAGGATGCGGGCGATGAGTGCGACACGGATGAGCTCTTAGACATTGACTTCATCGACACATCCTCCGTGCAGGAGGTGCAGCTGGACATCCAACGGAATCTGGGCAGCTGTCATTACTATCCCAGCGCCATGCAGCCCAGTCCGCTGATCCTGCGGCGCGCCTCGACGCGCTCGCGTCGTCGCAGCGGCCAGGAGCCAGGCGAAGGCAGTCAGCAGCGCCGTCGCAAACGCTTCCTGAAGACGCGCAAGAAGAGCTGCGAGAATCGGGAGAAGGTCAACGCTTCGCCGCTGCGTGAACCGCGCGGCTCTCGCAGTGTGGGCGGCACGCCCGTCTGCCTGCGCCGGCATCTATTGGGCCCCAAGGAACGGTAAGCTATGGAATCCTTATGAAAGTTGTTCGGTTCGATTGGAGCCTTAGGTTGGGGTCACTAGAAGAGAAGCTGCAAACTTGGTGTGTAGGTTCTTCTTTAGCATAGATCAGGAATATCTCACTTATTAAAAGCCCATCCTCCTTGATGGGGATAAACCTTAAGAGTTTTAGCTTCGCGGTCTATTTAAGTTTCGTTCCATAGTAGAAATAGAAAGAAGATTATCCATGCTGAACACGTTTCAATTTAGAGCATGCTTAAATATTTCATTCCATAATCCTTGTTTTCCTTTGGCAGCATCTACAAGACTTCTCCGTTGTCGAATCGCTCGAATTCGCTGATCTTTGGCAGCGCCAATGAGCCGCACTTTATGACCATAGCGGAGAGCGAGAAGGCGCTGCTCAAGGCCGATCTGGAGGCGGACATGAAGTACAAGCAGCTCATCATGGAGGCTGAATCGCTGCTGGAGTCCATGAAGAACAGCTTGCAAAGGTACGTAACTACCTTCTTCTCCAGCAGCAGCTCGTTAAACCCCCTTCTTCTGCCCACAGCATACCGCGTGACACGCCCGTCGCAAGTCCGAGACGCCTCAATCCGCTGGCCAACAAGCGCGTGGAAATGCTCAAGCACAGCGAGGTGGAGTCCAAGAAGCAGCCGACGCCCGAACACGAGCTGGCCGCGGCCATCAACAAGCGCATTGAGCTGCTCAAATTCGAGACGGCGGCGTCCGCCTCGCCGCCCAACAGCCCCAAGCCGGGACGCTGCAGTCCCCGCAAGACGCATCTGACGAACTTCATGAATCAGAACGCGCCGCCAGAGCTGCCGCCGCGCAAGCTGAACGCCCAGGCGCCGCCCTCACCGCAGCTGCAGCTGAACGGACGCCGACTGCAGGGCAGTCCTCGGAGCAGTCGACGCGCCCTGGCGCTGCACAGCTGCAATGGCAGCGACTCGGAGCAGGAGTGCATCGCCGTGGTGCGTCAGAGCAACGAGGATGTGGCCAATCACAACTACTTGCCACAGCAGCAGCAGCAGGCTTATAACCATCTGGACTACAACAATCGCAATGTGGCCGAGACTCACAGCCAGGATAACTTCTACTGTCCACACAGCGAGCCGCTGAAGCGTAAGGTCTACAAGGGCAGCAGCTCCTTTGAGCGCATTAAGAAAACATTCGACTTGGAGTTGGGTAAGTGAATATAACAAATAGATATACCCTGTAGCCATTGAAAATGTGTAAAATACAAAGACCATATTGGGGTTGTGTCAAAGTTGGTAACTAGCGAAAGGAAAAATCTCTGAACCTCATCCGAGCCCCACAACCAGCCAGACTTCCTAGCCTGTTCCGTAAGTCCGTCTGTATAAGAGCTAGGGATATCAAATAAGGAAGTGCTCGTATACCATGGGTTTTATATATATAATTATTGATAAGTCAATATGTGAAAAACAAAGGAAGTTTTCTTAAAGTAACTGGCGGAAGGAAAACCTCCGAACCTTACGGAAGTATCATAAACCGTGGAGTCTTTCTAGCCTGGTCCGTAAGTCTCTCTCTATAAGAGTTAGGAATATCAAATTAGGAAGTATAAAAGTATATCGAATAATTGATAAGTCAATAAATTGATAAATATCAATGTTCTGCTACTGTAGATTAGAAGGGTTAAGGGACAATAAACACAGATCTTATGGTGGAATAAAAACTTCATCGTGTAAGCCCGAGCACAGCCGCAATTATGTAATCAAGAACAAAAGCCAGCGTATCTCCTAGTCGGATAAGCTCGACTAGAGCCGTGTTACTTGTTTTGATTGAATCATACGTCACAGCTTATCGCACACCTGTCGCTTAATTAATTAACTTATCCGCACAGATATGAGCGAAAGGCCCAAGTCGCACGTCAAACGTCAGCAATCGAAGCTATCGGCTTCCGTTTCGGCGAAGAGCTCCATGCAGGACGTAACTGTGGAGGGGGCCAGCAAGCAGCAGCTCATCGTTAGCACCATTGCGGATCTGAAGCGCAGTCTGGAGCATCAGAGCTATGAGCTAAGTGGTCTAACTGAAGAATAGTTTATAGATTAACCGAAAGACCTAAACCTTACAGTTGAGTCCTTGAGCTTAAGGCTAACATAATCATATTGGAGCTGCAAAACTATCGACATACTTATATATTTGATGAATCGATATACTCATCAATAGTTAACTATCTATTGATATACCTTTGGTTAGTTTTGTGGCTCTAATACATATATTATCATCAACTAGCACTACGCATAACAAGTCCAACAAAGAGAAATACCCTCAGACTTAAACAGAAATTAAGTGCAATAAGTATCGACAGGAGCATAGATAAGCGCTTACCTTAAGTTGTAAGCCCTGGAAAATATGGACTGGTATAGCAGGTTACACATAGACTTAATGGGTAAACATAATTAATCTCATCAGATAGCCCGTAGTGAGTAAATTGTTTTCTTAGCACTCATTTAAATGTAGTAGTTAATAATTTACGTTCTCATCAGCTGAAAGTTACTCTAGTTTTAAAACAATTTTCGTTTCTTGCGATCATCTACAGTTTCTATTTAAATACCCCAAGCAAAAACATGTGTTGAAAACACAATTTAATAATCAGATAACTTTATACACTAGCCCAAATTTAGCTGATAATACGCCTTAGTTATATTTTATTCCTTCTCTTTGTTTAAATGTGTGTGTTTATGTATTTGTTAACCTCAAACCAAAGCATATCTCACACGAAATACACTTATACTATACACATACTACGTTTATTAAATAGAAATGCCAGCGCAGCCAACTTAACAAGCTCATTCAATAATTTTGGAGTTGCCAGATGGCTTCAAATTCACTTGGCATAAACGTAGTATTAAAACTATACTAAACTTCAGCTCATTACTAGACTTGGTAGATTTTCACATAAACTACGCATATTTAGACTTATCTACATCAATTATATAACAATTATAGAATGTAGCTCATTAAGTAAACTCAATTATTATATATCCATCCAAAAACTGATCGTTTAGCCAAATTGTTTGTAGAATATAAATTGTTTAACTGTTCTATTCAGTTCCCTTAGTTATTACAATTGAATATCGTTGAAAACCCAAAATTGGAACATCATGAATTTCAATTTGATTGATGTTAAATTATTCTTATTTCCCATTTCGGGTCAAATCGGTTGTATTTGAACACTTAATTAATTGACTAATTATGTAATTGCGTTGTGTGCTCCTTTTTTCAATGCATATAGAAGCTATATAGAATCTACCGTATAGCATACATAATGTAAGCGAATAATGTAACGTGATAATAAACTTAATGAAAACCAATTGACTTGCGCAAAATAAAATCAAGCGACCGCATCAAGCGATCGAGTAAGTATACATTATCATAATTATATATATAGTTGACTTGATTATATCGTTTGTAGTATTTGGCCGTTGTATGCATATAGCACCTGATCCTAAGTTCATATATATAGTTGTATCCATTAAAATTACAATTAGTTGCGGTTTGCGTAGTCGGTTGTCTGGTTTCACTTCATTTACTTAATGAGTTTTAACCATGCGCGACTCTTGACTGCAAACTGAAGAACCAAAGTGCAGTGTCAGTCCCCATTGAAACTTGGCAAATTAATGCGAATCCCACAAAATGCTTGAACTTCAGTTCAACGACTGATACGCAATACCCATTTTTCGAGGCTCTTTAGACGTCAGCCCATTTAATTTATGCCCCGCACATAAAATTGCCATAGAGGCTATTTTGTCATTTTCTTCTAAGCGACCTTAAGACAATCCAACGAGCTTTTTGATAATACATTTACAGAAATGGAAACATACTAACATAGTTGTATTTTAATAAATCATTAAATCGTATACCTAAGTCAGGCGTTGATAATAAATAAAGAAAGATATATCTTTTGCAACTTTCTTTGTCGGAGCCGAGTCTTCCATAGAAGTCTATTGTATAACATCTGCTAAAGGTTCAACTAACATATTCATTTATTATATGTTAACAAGCTTTACTGATAACATTTAACATCTGTTAAGAGTCCCGCTAACAGTATCTGGAAGACGTCTCTGCAAACTACATTTAAATGTACTGTACACCTAGGGAAAGTTGCCTCGACGTTGATATACATCTCTTCTATATACATCACCTTCCCTTTATGAACATCAATAAAGGATCAATTTAAGTTGAACACTATTTTTAAACTCTTCCTGCTTGCGATTTGATTGACAGTCCCGTCACCGTTGGAAGCTGTTGTGCGCAAGAGGAAATTCCAGAGCTTAAAGGCGCCAGAGTTTCAGAGCACGTTCATTATTATGCCGGACGTTGGTTTTGTCTTTCTGAAAATGTTCTAAAATCCCCGCCAGAAAAGCAGCGCAATGGAAAATATGCAGACAGCTCGCCACAAGTTGATAATTATGCAAATGTACACAGAAGGGGCGGACGGGGGAGGGCGAGACCTGCCTGGACTGGAATAATAATTGTATGGGAGCACGCTTAAAACATAAAAACAGAAACATTTTTTAAATTGGAGCGGAGGCCCGACCTGTGTATGGAGCTGCTGCTGGAGAATGGAGGATGCGAAACTGGTTTGATAATATGCGCCGGACTGTAGGCAGCAAGGTGGAGAGGGTTGCGTGTGTTAAAAAAAGCTTTGCCAGCGAATATCTCAAGCTTGCACATTCCAAGCATAATCAACTGCAGCGACAGGGTATTTTGGTTTAAAGGCGGGACAAGTAACAGCGGGCAGCTGTGCATAGGCTGTCATAACAACATTCATTCTGTTAATAAAATACTATAGCTACCAGCTTGAATTTATGTTAACATGGTATGTTATCGACAGTCGATAACTGCCAAACAGTTACAGCGCAGCATGCAGTCGACTTAGCTCGCCAACTGCAGCTTTGCTACTCGTTTTTGCACATTGTTTGCGATGACCGATCGACAGACAGAGGCTGCTGCGCAGTCGCGGCTGCAGCTTTCGATTTTAAGCTTCACTACATAAAACGTGTGCGTGCGGCTTAAAAGCTTTCTGTCTGTTGACGACATGTTGTCTCTCTGTTGTGATTCTGTTGTTGTTATTGTTGTTGCTTTTTAACGACTTTTTTCATTTAACGCCGCTGCTGCTGCTGTCGCTGCTGCCGCCGCTGCTGTTGTTGCTTTTTGGCCATAAACTGATACTTTAGCTGTCGCTGTCGCTGCTCGCGTCGCAGTCAGCTTTGCTGTTTTTTCAAGCTATGAAGGTCATATACCCAACGCTTGGCATTCAGATTCGAACCGTGCGGCTGCGGCGGCCGCTGCTGCGCTTGCGTCGTGCGCTCAGCAGGTGCGGCGAGCAGAGGCATGTACAGCGGGAAAGTGGTCAGTGGGGGGAGCAGCAGGGGGCAGCAGCGTTGTTGTTTTGGCAGTTATGAAACTAGTCCAATGACTCGCAGTGTTGTTGTTGTTGTTGCTGTTGTTGTTGTTGTTGTGCCGTGTGTTGTGAGCTTTGACGCCTCTTCTTGTAAGCATGTAAATGTATGCATATGCACCTACACGATTTACATGTGTACACACACACACACACACATACACTTGTCTTCATTTTGTAGACCACAGCAATAAGTACAACAACAAAAACTTGTTGTTTAATAAACAAAACTTTTCGTTGTCCAATGCAATGCGAAGCATTGGAGCGACCCCCAAGCGTCCAAATTTACGTTTGTATGTGTGTGTGTTTGTGTGTGTGTGTGTCTGAAAGCCGCCCAACGGGCCGACCAGTTCTCAAAAATTTCGTCAGCCACTTCTGTGTTGGTAAAAACCAAATGTACGCATTAGAAATAACTAATTAATTTTAGCGCTATGCAGAGCTCAAAAAATTTGAGGGTTTTTTATTTTAATTTTTTTGCAACATTAAATGAGGTTAAGTTTGAAAACTGTCTAGAAGAGAAATATGCATTAAAAAAGAAACAGCCAAGTCATGCGGCAATTTGCAAAAATCTTGAGACTGCGGCGTAGCTGGCATTCCGGTTCTGATTCGCCAAAGATAATGTTCCATATTGAGAAACTAGCTTGTGGGACGCAGCATAAGCAGATCTTAGCTGATGCTATACGGCACGTCGCCTCGGCTCAAAGTTCAGTGTAAACAGACGGCAGCCCAGGCCACAGCTACAATTAGCAGCGTTTCTTATACCCTGTTCACGATGGCAGCGCGAGTATATTGGTTGCGTGCAATAGAGACTGGACAATTGCAGTTTTCAGGTGCGATAAAGTGCCCACCATATTACATAGAATCATCTCCAAAGTTCCAGGCAAATGTATGCACATCCATAAGCCCTAATTGATATACCCATTCTCTTAAAAATACCCATTCAATTAGCTAGAAGACGATTGCGACAGCTTTTGCTTGTGTTCAGAGCATTTCGTAGTCGGTCAGAGCTGATCGCAATGTTTTTACTTGTTTTTGTTTTTTTTTCTTTGGGGCTTTTCTGACAGTTCATGCTGAGTTGTGCGTCTAGAACCGGCGTCTGCCCTAAAGAACTTTAGACCGAGGGGGCGGGTCAATCGATAAATTGTGTCCAGTCGATTGTGTCTGCTGAATCAGTGTAGCCAGTGCTGGGAAACCTACCGACGCCGAACTGACGTCACAATTGTGTTTTTTTTTCTCTCCTTCTCTTCTTGTTTCTTTTTTTGTTATTAGCCAATTAAATTCGAGTGTTCAATTAGCGTTTATTTCACATTGGCTTGAAGGAGCGAATTTCAGAAATGCGTTCGATATGCCGGATTCAAGCACTTGCGACGTATATCCACATACATATGTATATATTCGTACATATATGGGAAATACGCGCAGCTCGTCAATAAGGAAATCTGTAGATATTGTTATTGTTGATTTTTGCTGTGGGGTTTTGGTACTGTCGCAGAATGTTCGTGAATGAATATCGGCATCTGCGTCGCCGTCATGATTTAGCGATTTGTAAGAGCGTAAGAGCGTAAGAGTGTGCAGGTGTGTGTAAGTGTGCCTGTGTGTGTGTGTGTAGGTTGGTTTATGTGTGGAATTTCGAGTTTTCGGACTTTGTACTACTCGCTAGCCATGAACCAACGATTGGCCGCCAACCCATCTGAGACGGAGCCAGAGTCGCAGCCCGAGACGTTGCCGTAGTCCAAGTTCGCATTGTTAACATTGTTTAGGTGATAAATGCGTTGCCTGTATAAGTGTTAGCTATATACCTCTCCCTATCCCCCCCCCCCCCCCCTCACCCCTCTCACATCGACCACTCTCGCAGCAATCATTGCGCACTTATGCCTAGGCTCCAATTATACAACTGATATTGTTGGGGGCGGGGCAGCTCATGCGCTCATGACAGCATAATGCGGAATTCTAATCTCGTTTATGGCCAGGAACCCAAACCAAAACAAATCCGGCACACCTGCGGAATACACATACATATTGTAGTCCATAATGAAACATCCCATCAATGAATGAAAAATACTAACAGCTGTGTTTCTTCTTCTTTGTGCTTTGTTTTTGGCTAACAGGAAGCTAATTTTAATGCACTAAGGCATTGGATCACTTGGCTAAACGCATAACGGAAATTATTAGTCTCTAATTATAGCTTATAGATAATACGTATAGATATTTGTTGTTGCTTTTGTCTGGGGGTCACACTTTAAGCTTGGGGTCAAATACAGCGGAAGTCATTTTAATAAATGCGGAGCTAAAGACACACAAATATTTAAATTATATGATATTATTATAAATTCCGTTATTAATGTGTTTAAAATATACCGTGATTAAATGCGGCAAAGGGCATATTAGCATGATGAACGCAAATGTAAATGAAAACTGTTAAATATGATGATAAAAGATAACGGTTAGGTGTCTGCTGTTAAGCTTAACAGTTGTGTGGTTATAAAAGAATACCAAAAGAAAAACTATCGATTTTTGCAGTTATCGCTTTAGTGCACATACCTAAGACACGCCAGTTATCCCGGTAAAAGAACTTTTTATAAAGTGATTAAATTGTGCACAAAATTAATGCCAGCTAGATATTTGACATGCCCATCTCATCTGTTTCTTACGTGGTATTTGCCCGTCGGGCAGCTATGTCTACATGGGTAAGTAACATTTAATTTGTTGGGTATTATATTGTACGCTAACTTGTCCGGCGACTTAACGATCGGTCCGTCAACCATTCACATGCGCATATTCACACTCGTATTCACATTCGTGTTTGTATTCACACGTGATAATATTCATTTCCGAATGCAGCCCGAGATTCTCCAGTTGCGCTTGAATGTGGCACAAGAATTTGCGGACCTTGGCTAATTGCTGCTGCTGCAAACGTTAACCTTG